AAGAGAAGCCACAGCAATGAGAAGCCCGTGCACCACAACGAAGAGTAGCCCCCGCTCGCCACAACTAGAGAAAGCCCGCGCGCAGCAACAAAGACCCAACACAGCCAAACATATATAAAATAATTAATTAATTTAAAAAAACCACAATGAGAAACATTTACATTTATTAAAACACTACACCCAAAACAGAAAAATACACAATTTCCTCTAGTGCTCATAGAATATTCACCAAGAAAAACCACATTATGGACCATAAAATAAGTCTCAGTGTATTTAAGATCATACAACATATGTTCTCTGGCCATATTGAAGTTAAAGTAAAAATCGATAGCAGAAATACATGCAGAAAATCTCCAAATATTTGAAAATTAAACAACAGTCTTCTAAATAACCCATAAATCAGAGAAGAAATTACAGGAAAATTAGAAAAAATATGTAACTGAACAAAAACAAAAACACAACGTATCAAAATTTGCAGGATTAAAAGCTTAGTGGGAACTTTATAAGAAAATAAAAGTTTTGATTCCTTGACTCCTCCTGGACCCCACCTTTCCATTCTCAGTGGTAGTACTGCCATTCTCTCAGTTGCTCTGGGGTTATTCGTGACCCCTCACTTTCTCGTCCCACGTCTTGTCGCCTCTACACCTCCTGCCTGGCACACGAATTATCCCAGTAACCTCCTGGCTGGTCACACCGCTCCTCCCTTGTTACCCACATAGCAGTTGGGTGGTCCTTTCTAAAAGGTCAATTGAACAGTGTCACTCTCCTGGTCTCATCCCTCCAATCTGATTAGAATAAAGCTGGGGCCCTCTACACAGCCAGCCCCATCCCACAGGACCTGGCCCACGGCCCCTCTGGCCTCCTTCCTGTCTCCCCCTCCCTCTGCTCCATGCCCTTGCACCCCCCTTCCTGGAACACCCTTTCCTCAGATATGTGCAGGGCTTGCTCTCTCATTTCATTCAGAAAAAAAGCAACCTGAATTGATTACTTAGTCATCTATTGATTCCCACAGCCGTAGACATTCATTATCTCTCACAGCTTGACAGGGTGGCTTAGGCTTGGGTCTCTCATGAGGTGACAGTCAGGACATCAGCCAGGACTGTCATCCCTTGAAGGCTCGAAGGGGGCCGGAGGGCCCCTGGAGTCTCCAAGGTGGTTCACTCCCATAGCTGGCAAGTTGATGCTGGCCACCGGCAGGGGGCCATTGACAGAGAGTTCCTGTCCACACTGGCCTCCCCCAGAGCAGGTGACTCAGGAAGGACAGTGCCAGAGGGAAGCCGTTCCTTCTAGACCTCACCTCAGAAGTCACACTGCCACTTCCGCCACGTTCCACCCAGTAGGAGAGTCATTCGGTCCATCCACATTCGAGGAGAGAGGAACTGGGCTCCCCTTTGAAGGGATGCGCGTCAAAGAGCGTGCAGACAGGTTGAAGCTACCACACGGCCCCATCGAGCTCTATCCCTGTATTCTGCTTTCCTTTCCCTTGGGGTACATAGCGCGGCATGAAACGGTCTAAGGTGCTTATCTGTCTTCCACATGTTCAGTCGGCGATCTACCTTTTCCACTGCTGTACCCCAATAATTTAGAGGAGTGCCTGCCACACAGTGGGAGCTCAGTAAATGTCTATGAGTGAATTAAATGTCAAAGTCCAGCCTTGCATATGGTGGGATCTGTGGGGAGTTTGTGATGTTGGGAAGATGGGCTTCCAGGAAAGGTGGGATTTGGAAAGTCAGAGACTGTGGGGACAGGGAGAGGAGGGATCGTGTGGAGAGGCAGGTAGTAGAACCATGTGGATGAAGGTGTGCGAGTGCAAATCAGCCTGAGGGCAAGCAGGACGGCACCACAGGTGTCTGCAGCTGTGGTCTGTGAGGGTCCTTGGGCTCCCCCAGATCAAGGATAGAGTCCTGGTGGCCAGGCCTGCTGACAGCCAGCCCCATCTCCCCAGTCCTGGTCTGGAGGTGGGCCCTTGCAGTGGGTGGACACCAGGCCAAGGCCCATCCTCTGCCCACTTGGCCGGCCACAGGCAAGATGTCTGCACAGAGAGCTTGCATAATGGCTCCTCCCTGCCTGTCAGCTTCCTCCTGAGAGAAATGTGTCCACAGGTGGCTCAGTTCTCAGAGATTCACCTCCAGAGAAGATGCAGAGATGGGTTCTTGTCACAGTTTCTGATCTAGCCAAAATCTTAGGGAAAAACCCTGAGTGGTCTGCTTGGGTCACGTGACTACCTCTCGGCCAATAGACCAAGGCCAAGGAGGGACTGTATCTATGATTGACAGCCCTTGCTAGAGCCCCTGGGTTGGAGTCGGGGAGGAGGTGAAGCCGTTCGCTCCACATGGGGCTGCAGTTCCCAGAGGAAGGAACGGGTTGGGAAGAACGAGTGAGCACTGAAGCAGCCCCCTCCCCATGGGGCAGACAGGGCCTCGCTCCCACCGAGGCCAGACGCAGCAGCCCAGGTCTCCTTGGTCCTCACCACAGAGTGTGATACACCAGGATTCAGAGGGGTCCAAGTCCCGGTGATATCTTTGTGTGTGTGTGTGTGTCTCACAGGTACGTTTATTCATGCATGCATTTATTCACTGCTGCAAGTCAACACGATGTCCCACGTTCCCACAACACAGCCAGACAGACGTCCCATCTGGTTAATGAAGACCATGAGAAGGTGCAGGACTGGAAGCTTTCAAGGCTTTACCTCTTTGATCGGCACGCCTGATTTTATAAACGATGAAGCCCGTCACCCCCGTTCCTACCCAAATCTCCTGGTATTCAAGGCTTAGGGCTCCACGGGGATCCAAACGTTCTTAATAAGGTTTCAAGAATCTCAGCGCAGGACCAGAGCCTCAGGCAGCCGCGACCCACAGCAAGACAAAGCAAGGTCGAGGCCTTCTGCAACCGCACCCCCCTTGCTGGAGGCGTGGAGGAAGCCTACAAGGTGAAAGGGAGTGCAGAGCCCAGGAGAGATTCAAGCACGGGAGGGGCTGAGGCCTGGGACACGCAAGGGCCTCAGGACAGAAGCTTGAGCGCCTCCAGCCTGGGGGAGGCGGTGGTGTGCTGGAGAACTGGCTTCTAAAGGGAGGAACGAGGCCTGGTTCGCAGGGCTTCGCAGTTTCCGCGGCCTCAGTGCCCCGACCGAGACCGAGTTCAAGCTCCCAGCTGTGGAACAGCCAGCCCTCAGGTTTCTGGCTATTTCGAAGTTCTTTTTCCAGGACCAGTAGGAGCTTCTCCAGCACCCCCGACTGGGGGATTGGGGTGGGTGGAAGGGGCCTGAACCTCTGGCGGCAGCCCCCTGCTGAATCCCTCCCTCCCCGCAATGTGCTGGAGCTGTCTGGGCCACACCAGAGCCAGCAGCTGGCGGCTGCCCGTTCCCAGGCACGCAGGCAGCCTCCAAGCTCTGAGCTACCAGAGGCCGCAGACCCTGTGGAGATAGGGCCCACTCTGGGCCCCTGAGCACACCCCATATGCTCTCCTGAGACTCCACAGGAGGAGTTGTGTCCCCAGGGCTGGTGTTGCTTCCACTACAGACCTCAATCCCACAACAGAGAGAATTGTGGGGCTGCAGCCGGAGGCAGGGAGACTCGCCTCCAAGCAATGATTTTCTTGCATCAGGAGAGAAGGGGACAAGAAAGGGAGCAGGCCAAGCACTGCAGTCCCTGCCTCAGAGCCAGGGAGTCCCGCGGGGTCTGCTTCGGGCTGGGTGTGGGGAGGTAAGCCTAGTGGTGAGAGCTGCAGGGGGTGTGACCCTGTTGGGAGGGACATGGCTCCTCCCCTCTCCACTGCTTCGGACATCACTTAGGTGTGGAGGCGACCCTGCTTTGTCCCCATTGGGGGCTTTTGCTGTTGGGTCTGCAGAATCCTCAGTTGCTATTGGAAACGGTGATGTCACTGGCAGCAGGCGGAGCTTCAGCCATCCTTTGAATTAGGGAGAAGGAAGCACACTGGGTGGGGGGAACGGTGAGGACAAAGAATTGGGATCACAAGCACCAGAGGACAGGGAGCTTCTGGAAAGGGGCAGGAGGGGGTGCTGGGAGTGAGTTAGGAGAGGGGCTGCCAAGGGGAGGAGCGTGGAAAGGGGGGATATGTATGGGATGTCTATCCCCGCATCAGCAAGTGCTTCCTGATGTCTAACCTTAGTCCCATCTGCTGCAGAGACGACTCCCTCTGGCCGTGGTCTCTCCACAGTTGGTTTGGTTCAGACCCTCAGACTCTCCTGGAAGATCCAGCTCAACAAGGGGCGGCCACTGTCACCCCTTCTATTCTTTTTAACCCTCTGGGGGGAGTCCAAGTCACATGGCCAGGCAGATGAGGTCTCTCCCCCATTTTTGAGCCTTCTGGAGAAGAGGTCGCCGCCGTCCCTCTCCCAGAGGCACGGTTTAGGGCCTCTCCACACGCCTTGGTTTCCAGCCAGCAGAGTCAGGCCCCGAAGTATCACTGACTGTGGGTGAGGACTCGTGCACGCGCGTGTGCGCACACACACAAACTGGCACGACACATTCAGTCATGTTAAAGGACACGCAAGGCTGCACGCAGTGACACGAACCCCTCCAACCTCTCCAAACTCGGCTCCTTGCAGGTTCGAGACAGCCCAGGTCACTGTCTCAGCGAACCCTGCACACACGCACGCACACACGCCCGCACACACGCGCACACAGGCGTCCCCCGCTCGCGCGCGCTCTGAAAAATGCTGGCACGAACGCAGGCGCACACTCTGGCGCGGGAGGCGCCCCCGCTCCGGCTCCGTGTTGGGAAGCGGGGGCGGCGGGAGGGGTAGGAGACGTTGGTCCCGCTCGGCGCTCCGCAGTCGCCGCAGCCGCCGCAGCGTCGGGACCGGGACAAGCGAAGCCCGCAGAGGAGCTGCCGCCGCCGGGTCCTTTCGGCGCGGGGCACCCGGAGCGGCGCCGAGACCCGCTTCAGCACCGCGGACAGCGCCAGCCGCCTGGAACAGAGCGCCCGGAACCCACGCGCACCCGGGTCCGCCCGGCCGGCCGAAGGCTCGGTGCCACCTGCTCGGTGCAGACTTCCCAGGACTAAGGCTCCCGGGGAAGACGTGGCGCCCTCAGCCCGCGGGATCGGGCGCGCGCAGGACGGCCGGGGCGTCCCTCTGGGGATGCGCCGAGGGCCCCGCGTTCGCGCTGCCCAGAGCCAGGGCGCCGCCCGGAGCCCATGAGCACCATGCGCCTGCTGACACTCGCCCTGCTTTTCTCCTGCTCCTTCGCCCGTGCCGCCTGCGACCCCAAGATCGTCAACATCGGCGCGGTACTGAGCACGCGGAAGCACGAGCAGATGTTCCGCGAGGCTGTGAACCAGGCCAACAAGCGGCACGGCTCCTGGAAGATCCAGCTCAACGCCACCTCCGTCACCCACAAGCCCAACGCCATCCAGATGGCCTTGTCGGTGTGCGAAGACCTCATCTCCAGCCAGGTGCCAGCACCCCCGGGGCTCACGCTGTGCCAGCTCCTGCCCCTCCCCCACCGCCTCGCCACCATCCTCCCTCCTTCACCCGCCATCCCTCCCCCGTCCCAGTTTCATTCCATCCTTTCCTAGCCCCCTCCCTCCCCTTGAGAGAGGACCCAGGGTGCTGGTCTCACTAGCAGCTAAACACCAGTGTTGGCCGGTTCCCCATCTTAGCCCCAGATCAGTCACCGGCCAGCGGGGCTTGTCCTCACAGGGTTTCCAGGTGTCGAGGTCCAGACTGGTGTGTGCAGACATGTGGCCGTTTGCTTGATCACTGTGTGTCAGGGTCGGGGCGGGCATTCCGGGCCTGCCTGAGAGGTGCCTGTCCCAGTCACAGGCAGGACTACAGGGCTTTAAACTGGATGGGGTCTGGGGCCATCTTTGTTCCTGCTTGGAGATCTCCTTCCCTTCCTCCTCCCCTTCCCCCATCCACAGGTCTGCCTGAGATGGGAAATGGCCCAGGTGTTGAAGCCGGGTGTTCGCCAGGGTGGGAACGGGGAGAGGTATCAGGGCAGAGCGTGGCAGCCACTGGCAGCCAGCGCTGCGGGGGAGGACACGACTCAAGGATTTTGCCTGTCAGAGCTGTCCGCCCCCGGGCTGCGCTGCCTGCTGAATCCCAATGAGGCCTCGGGATCACTGCAATGCAGCCTTTTATGTAACAGGCGGGACCGACACCGGTCCAAGTGCTGCTTACACACTCACCGGACAGGCACGCCACATCCATGGACACACACACTCACATGCGCACACACATTCATCCACGTTTGTGCACAGAGATGCGTAGACTTAAACTAGCACCCCTTCATGCACATCAGAATTGCACACGCTTATTCACACACAGACCGACCCCCCATGCATATCCATGAGCACACACATTCCTGTGCCACACATGCAAACACGCGTGCTCACACAAGCTCAATCATACATGCACATACACATATGTTGGGGCATGCGGTATCCACACACATACCCAGCACACACTTGTGAGCACCTGCGTGGTCACACGCATGCACACACGCTCAGGCCAACACTGGCCAGGCCCCTCTGGGTGCAGACTGTGCGGGGCAAAGGAGGGAGAACAAGTGTGGCCCTTTCTGGGAATCCCTCCTCCAACTTAGCTTTGCTGTCTGTGGGCACTGTTCTCCCAGGGAATAGCCAGTGCTAGGAGCAAAGGTGACAGCAGCAGCTGTCACTCACTGTCACATGCTGTGAGCCAGGTGCCGGCTCGGCAGCCATCGCCCCCACCACGTGGGCCAGCGCACCCCCCACCCCGTTTGCAAAAGCAGGTGGTCCTGTAGCTCAGAGATGGGAAGGCAGAACTGGGACTGACAGGTCCTTCTAATGTGAAGGCAGCACGGAACTGCCAAGCCATCTGCCCCATATCCCTGCCTCGGGGGCTGAGCCACTGGTCCAGGCAGGAAGGCCAGGTTTCCTTGAGGATGTGGTCAGTGCCCAAGTCAGCACTGGGTCTTGTTCAAACCGAGCGGGTCTCAGCCTGCCCCTGGAAGACACCAGCAGGGGGGCCCGGGCCTCTAGGCGGCTCCTTGCCCAGCTTCTCCCGCTAATAGTCTGCGATGTTCGACGCACCTTCCGGAGCTGCCCTCCATCTCTGGAGTGCTGGCCTCCGTCCACCTCTGACCCAGGATGAGGGTCAGCGTGGGGCTTGGTGTGGTTCTCCCAGCCCACGCTGGGGCGGCAGGTGCGGCCCCAGGACATGCCAAGGACTGGCCTTCATCCTCCCTCTCAGGGTCTCACCACACAGCTCAGGGCAGCCCCCCAGGGCGAGGGGCGAGAGGGGAGGCCCTGGACAGGGATGGGGGAGGGGCCTGTCAGCTCCCTGTGTGTCTTCTTGGTCCCAGGAGTCTTGTCTGCCTCTGCCTCACCCCTATGATTCACTTCCACGCAGAAGGTGGGACTGGGGTCTGGTCCCCTGCTGGGTGGCCTGCACTCCTGGGGCTGTGTGAGCACAGGTGGTGTCCCCCCGCCACCACCCACCCCCCGCTTCGTGTTCAGCCTCTGCTGTTGCTGGACAGCCAGCTCCAGGGCAGCGTCCCCCGCTCCCCACTAGAGCTGACCCTGTCCCCTGTGTCCACAGGTCTACGCCATCCTAGTTAGCCACCCACCTACCCCCAACGACCACTTCACTCCCACCCCCGTCTCCTACACAGCTGGCTTCTACCGCATCCCCGTCCTGGGGCTGACCACCCGCATGTCCATCTACTCAGACAAGGTGAGCCTGACCGCTGCACGGGGACCCAGCTCTGCTCCCGTGTTCAGACCCGGCGGCTCGCTCCTGCAGCCCGGAGCCGCCAGCAGCTGCTGGGGGGGGGGGGGCAGGTGCTTTGCCAGGATGGGGGGCACAGGCAGACGGGCTCAAACCATGGGCTCTGGGCTCCAGGTGCAACAGGGTGATACACTGAGGCACGCTCACAACTCACACCGGTCCACACTCACGGTCTCACAGAGACACGCAAACTCACCCACACACAGGCACACCAGTACACACTCACAGCACACAAACTCACAGTCACACAGACTCACAGATACTAACAAATCCATACACTCACGCCTACACACACACAGCCACACACATTCACAGGGACACTCACGTGCTCTTACGCGCACACTGACGTTCACACGCATACTCACACCATCACCCACTCAAACATTCATGCTCATGTGCACACTCCCATAACTAACGTGTTCACTCCCCCACACTCATGCTCCATCATACACTCAGACAGGCCCACACTCACACGCTGACACACATGCCCACGCACACTCGGGCACACGGCCCACTGACAGGTGACAGGCGCCAATAGCAAGCCCTGGGAAGCAGCAGAGGCCGTCGTGGGCCAGAAGAAGGGACAGACAGGGCAGCTTCCTGGACGGCGGGACGGGGCACTTTGGAGGAAGGGGCGCCAGGAGGAGGAAAAGCCTAGCAGTGGCTGGGACACCAGGTGGCAGTGAGGGTGTAGTTACCGGCACCTCCCGCTAGAGGGCACAGCTGGAAGAGGATTCCAGGTGAACAGAAGAGGCAGCTCGTGGCTGGGGGCGCTGGCCTGGGGGTTTCGGGCCTCGGGGCTGTATCGTGGCCCATGGGCTGGGGGTTTGGCTGGAGTCGCCCAGTCGTGGAGCAGCAGCTGGGAGAGTCTAGAGGTCACCAAGTCGGTTTGGCAGGAAACTCACCCCCATAGCAGCCGGCACCTTGCACTAGTTCGCCCAGCCCTCCCGTAGTGTCTGCCCACGGCTCTGGGAGGACTGGTCAGCTGGGGAGGCAAACTGGCCACTGAGAGGCTGGGGGGGGGGCAGCCTCCTCCACATCTCCCTCCAGGCCTGGTGTCACTTGCAGACAGGCCCGGAGGCGCTGCTTGGCAGGGGACTCCAGCTGATGCCTTAGCTGAGGGGCCAGAGGGCTGGGCTGCTGGGGGCTTCCCCGCTCTCCCCATCTTCTCCAAATCCATCCTGCCGGGAGCCCAGGGTCCTGGATAACGCTGCCTAAGGCACGGAGGTCATCTCAGCCGGGCCCAGGGTGTCTGGGGAGGTCAGGGAGGGGTCCTCCTGGAGGCGATAGGAAAGCGAGGCCAGAGTGAGGGGTCCTCTGGGACGGCCCACAAGGGAGGAGGCCAGTGGAGGCCAGGATGACCACCCGTTCCTGAGGCTCTGGAAACCCCAGCACACAGCAGAGGCACCCAAGCTGCTCAGAGGCACTTAACCCTCAACTGTGAGAAGTGGAGGCTCCCCCTAGGCCTGCCAGCCTCCTTCACCTCTCTGGGCACCAGGCCCCTCACATGCAAATGGGAGAACAATGGCTCTACAGAGGAGAGCAGGCGGTGGGGCACAGGATAGGCTGGGGTGGGGGGAGCCCTGTCCCAGAACAGGACACCAGCCCATCACGTGTCCCCGCCCCAGATCCAGACTGAGGCCCAGCATGAGGGCAAACCTGCGACCAAATCTTAGCGCTCCACCTTGACCCCACTCCTGGTACAAACCACAGACCATCTGTGCCCAACACGTGGACCAGAAGGGCCTGGGTCAGAGCCAGTCCAGGACCCTACCCACAGCCCCCTTGCAGCCATGTCACCTGCTGGATGACAGACAGAGGCAAAAGGGCATTCTTGCACCCTGATTCCAAGGCACAAAGAGGGAGCAGGTGGAAGAAGGATCTGGAGGGCTCAGAGGGCCCCAGGATCAGTGTGGGTCCCCAGGAACACTGCTCCCTGGGCAGACACAAAGGCCCTGTGCTGAGGCGGGAGGGTCCTGCTCCGTCCCCTCCCTGGCAGCCAGTGCACTCAGAGAAGCAAGGCGGGGTCAGCAGGCAGCAACCCCTGGGCTCGGTGAAGGGGTGAAGTATTTCGCCCCAACAGTGAAGACTTGCTCTAAATACCAGTTATGTGAATTTGGGAAGGACCCAGGGGGGATCTTTGAGATGCTGCACGCCAGCAAGAAGTTTCTGATCTCAAGTAGCTCAGCAGCGGGTGGCTGCAGGGGAGGAGGGGAACGACCCCAGGAACAATTCCACAGACCGCCCCCTCTACCCGTCTCAGTCAGGGTGCTGCTGGGCAAACTGAGCCTCCGGTTCTCAGATTAGACGATGTGGAGTGGGGAGAGAAGCCAGCGGTGGGAAGGGAGGAGTGAGGGAAGCGGGGTCCCCGGGCTCCGGGGTCTGGAAGCAGCGAGGGGGAGCGTCTGGCCCGCGCGCGCACGCGTGCGCGCCTGGCCCGCGTCCTCAGCCGCCCCGTGTCCCGCAGAGCATCCACCTTAGCTTCCTGCGCACCGTGCCGCCCTACTCCCACCAGTCGAGCGTCTGGTTCGAGATGATGCGCGTCTACAGCTGGAACCACATCATCCTCCTGGTCAGCGACGACCACGAGGGCCGGGCGGCGCAGAAGCGCCTGGAGACCCTGCTGGAGGAGCGCGAGTCCAAGGTGAGGCCCGGGCGGGGTGTCCCGAGCAGGAGTCGGAGCCGGCGAGCCGCCGCTGTGTCTGTGGCCCGTGTGAACACCCTTCTCTTTCCATCGTGCATGGTCAGCACCACTGCGTCTGGCGAGCGCCCGCCCCAGCCTGTCCTCGGCTCATTTCACTCGCTTTTGCCATTAGTCGAAATCTCCTTCGTGTCAGTCCCTGCGGGGCGAGGGCAGGACCACCTGGAGCTCCGCAAACACCCCGCCCCGCCCCGCTCCCCTCCCCCGTCCCCTCCCCCACCTCCCCACAGCGCGCTTCCCAGCCCACACAGGCCCTAGGCTCAAAATTCCCTAGGGGCGCCGCCTCTGCCCCCCACACCGCTCCCTCCCAGCGGCCTCCCCTCGGGAGCCCCCTCAGTGTGGTGGCACCGCTCACCGTGCCCCCTCCACAAAGGACCCGGTTCCTTCTCTGCTGTGACCCGTGCCCTGTCCTCGCGCCGGCCTCACCCCCGCCGCAGCCCCTCACCTCACAGCTGCCCATCACCCTCCCCAAAGCCCCACCCACGGACATCTGCCACCCCCAAGCCCGGCCTGGGCCCTGCCCCACTTCGTCCCCCACCGCTCTCCCCACGGAACCCCGCGCCCTTCCTCTCCTCACCTCCCCACCGTGGGGACTGGGGCTCTGGACTCCTGGGAATCCGGTAGACACCTGGCTCCACCTGCCCGTTCTACCCCAGCCCGGCGCCCACGTGTGGGCTGTGGAGAGACCGGAGTGGCGTTTCTGGGGGTCCAGGCGACCCCCACCCCACCCATCCCCACTGCCAGACTGAGGAGAAGCTGGTGCTCACCAGAGGAGGCCCGGGGTCCCGCCTTCACCCAGCCTGGAGCCCTGGGCGCTCAGCACCTGGGCCAAGGCCCCCCGGGGTTGGGTGGAGGCCAAGCTGGGCAGAGAGGGAGGGACGCCCAGGCTGGGGAGGGCCCCGGGAGGCAAGACCAAGGGCGGCGGGGAGCATGTGCTGTCTGTGAAGTCAGAGTTGGCTTCAGTAAGCTGAGTGCCAACCCGGGTCCCGAAGGGAAGAGAGGGCACCAGCTGGGGGTGAACCAGAGGGCAGACCCAGAGGGTCCTGGGGTCCTGCTGGGGGGGACTGGCTGAGTCTGGGAGGGAGGGCTGGTTACCAGGACTGCAGGCCCCACCCCCCTGAGACAGCACCCAGCACCAGGCAAGCAGGTCAGCTCCTGGCGTGCCCACCTGTGGCTGCACACAGGCCCAGTGCGCACTCACGCACCCCCCGCACGCCCAGCCACACGTGTTCCCTCTCACAGGCACACGCGGCCTTTCCCGAGACAATCCACTCACACTCTACTACGCCTGCCACAGGCTCGCAGGCGCCCTCCACACCTCCACGGCCCGGGGGCTCACACACGCACACGCGCACACACGTATGCGCAGACGGCACTGGCCCTCACTCCCACCCACCACAGACTAACGTAGGCTGATGCTGCCACGCAGACGCCCACAGATGCACACGTGCTCACGAACTCCTGTCACAGCTGCTCTCCAGCGCACACGTGGGCTGACAGGCGCGCCCATCACACACCAGTCAGTGAGGGCAGAGCAGCTGGACCTCTAAGAGAGGCAGAAGGGGGTGCTGGGAGGGGTGGGGAATAGGGGCCGGGGCTGGGGGAGGGGACATCGCCCATTCAGGACTGACGGGGCTGGGGTGGGCGCTGCTGGCATCACATAGCAGGTGCCTGGCGGGGGGCGGGCAGATGGGACCCCAAAGGGAGGCGTTTGGCTTGGGCGCAGACAGGGCCTCCCTTTCTCCTGAATGTGAGCGTTTCCAAGAGCGCAGCTCCGTGGCAGGGAGCCTCGGTGGCCCCCACGCCCCCTCATTCCCCAGCACCTCCCTGGCCCCCAGCCCCACCCCGGGCCTAGGTGTTTGCGAGCTCCAGGTACGTGCCCCTCTGCAGACGTGCCGAGGAGGTGGTGTGATTGCTTTAGCGCCGTCATTTTCAACCGTTTATAATCTTCTTCTGTGTCTGCATATTTTCTCTGTGCACATTATTCATCAGAGTAAAAAAAGGAACTATGAAAACCTCGACCAACTGTCCTATGACAACAAGCGCGGACCCAAGGTATATATGCATGGACGTGCACGCCACCCACCGACTAGGGAGCCCCGGCCTCCGGCGCCTCGGCCGCTAGGGCTACCGTGGGCCCAGCCGCGCCGCAGGCCCGAGCAATGAGGAGAGAGCGAGGTCGAGAGCAGGCAGCGTAGGCAGGAGAGGGCAGGTGCTGGCCGCCCAGGGCCCCGCAGCCCGCCGGCCGGGCCAAGGGGCAGGCACGGCTGCAGGAGGAGCTGCTCTCTGGGAAGTGCATGCGAATCTCCAGGCACCCCAGGGTTTCCTCGTGGAGCCCAGGAGGGAGCCCGCCTGTCCGCCTGACCTGCCTGCGGTCCGGGCTGCTCCTGCGGGGCCTGTGGACCAGGCCCCAGACGACCTCCCGTGGTTTTGGAAAAGGCGGCCTAGTCTCCGCTCCCGATTGCATTCCAAAACTCTTTTCTGTTTCCGTCCGCTGCACGCCTCTTTCTGAGTCTCGGTCCACTTCAGCTTGCATGCTCAGTGCAAAAGTGAGGCCAGGAGTGACAGGTGGAGAGAGACGCGCAGAGCAGAGAGCGAGGACAGGAGAGCCAGCAGGCTGAAGAAAGGACGAGAGAGGCCAGCCCGGCCGGCCGGCCGAGGAGCCTGGAAGGCAGGTGGCAGTGCAGGTGGCCGGCGCAGGCCGAGGCGGCCCTAGCGGAGCTGCCTCGGGGTTCCTAGCGGCTGCGGCTCGACTCTGGCCCCTGAGGCGCTGCATCCCCCGCCCCGGCCACCTGCTAATGCACCCGCTCACACCGCAGGCTGAGAAGGTGCTGCAGTTCGACCCGGGGACCAAGAACGTGACGGCCCTGCTGATGGAGGCGCGGGAGCTGGAGGCTCGGGTCATCGTCCTCTCCGCCAGGTGCGGCCAGGCTGGACTCAGGCTTTGGCGTCCTTGCCAAGGACGGTCCCCTTGCACGTGTACCCTGGGCCTCGGGGATGGGGGTGGGTGGGATAAGACCCTGCCCTTAGGAAGGCAAACGCGGCCCAGGTGATAGACGGGGGGACACGGGGCTCTGGGAGCTGGGTCAGGGAGGGGGCCTGGGGCAGTGACGTGGGGTCTGCATGTGAGCCTGCGGGGGGAGGCCCACAGCAGGGACAGGGCTGAAGGGGTGGGGCAGTCGGACTAGGCAGCGTGAGAGGGGAACCGCGTAGGGGGAACCCAAAGCCAGGCTCTGCCGGACGGGCCTGGTCCCCACCGTAAGCTCGCGGCTGAGCCCCCAGTAAAAATCTCCCTTTTTGCAAATGGCTGTGTCCTCCTGGGGAGGGAAAGGCAAGGCCACCAGGAATAGGAAAAGGAAGAGCCCTGCCTCATGGGACATACATGGGAGAGCCTGGGGAGACCCGGCCCACTGTCTGCCTGTCCTAGAAGCTCTGCAGCCTCCAGCAGAGTGGGGAAAGACAGCAGGGGTCGCCCTGCAGGCGGCCAGCGGGAGCCTGCAGTGCCCTGAGTAGCAGGGCAGGTGTCCGTTTGCACGTTCAGGCCACAAACCTTTGGCACAGAGCCAGGTGCACCCCGTCCTTGGGCAGAGGGCAGGATGGGACCAGCAGGGGCTCCTCGGGCTGGAAGGCAGTTAGCGGGCACTAACGCCCACCGCCCTCCGCTCACGCACACCAGCACAGGCACTCACACACATACACACGAACACGCATCACCCGCATACTGTCTACACGTGCACATGCTGTACGCACACATGTGCACACAACATGCTTCCACGCCCTCCTGTACGCATGCCTGTGCCGTATACACACGTGCGCACAGGACATACCTATGCGCACACGGGCACGCTGCTACATGTAACACACGCAGGCATATTCTCACCTAGATACATGTGCAGACACACCACACACGTACACGCTCCGCACCGACACACACAGGGCACGGTGCTCTCGTGTATAGGTGCATACGCCACAGACACACCACGTGCTACGTACATGCACGAACCCCACACATGTGGCGATACTTGCTGTTCACAAAGGCACAGCACTTGGCAACCACATGCCCACCTCTTGAATCCACGCAAGGCCTGTGTATTGTCAGGCGGGAAGAGACCCCTCCCCTCACAGCCGGGGCTCCTCGGACAAGAGAGGCCAGAGTCCCACCACAGAGGGGGACCTGCCTGCCCAGCGCGCCCAGCTCCCAGAGCCCGGGGAAGCCGGTGGTCCCCTGGGCAGGGCAGACGCAGGTCTTCTTCGCCCTGGCGCCCCAGCCTGACACATTCTGGCTCCCCTCACGAGGGCTGTTGAGAGCGTTTTGCGGAGAGACCCCATTAAGCCAATCTTAACTTTTGACCAGTTTTCTACAGAGTGCTTCAGAGTTTCTAATTGATTTCCAAAACTTTTGTTTTTTAAATAATCCTCCTGAAGTTATCGTTACTGGGATCAGTTATTTCCATAAAACAGTTTGGCGGGTCGATCAGGCTTTTGTCTGCTTTACTGAAGATATCAGTTTACACGGACACAAGCACAGGTGTGTGCTCACCCCACCAAGTCCAACGTCACAGGCCTGGATGGTGTCCAGCAGACAGGCCTCTCCGCCAGGCTTTGTGGGCACCGCTGACAGGGGCACACCGTGCCCTGACATGCACGAAGGGTGCTGCCAGCGTTCGGGCTGGATGTTGCCTGGAGCGCCGCTCTTTTGTGTTGCTTCCATCCAACAGTAGCGTTCTCATTTAGAGCAAACACTGAAGATTTGCATTTCTTCCTTGAGAAAATTCGGGGCAGACCCCTTAGGGAACCTAGGGCCATCTTAGCTTCCAGGCTCAGCCATTGGGAAAATAACCCAACACTTGGACAATCTCCCCAGCCCCTTTGTACCCCGATGCCCATGCATTGGAGAAGCAAAGTGCCTGTTGTGGTCCAGGCCCATCTGGGACCAAATTCGGCCCAATAGGGGACAGAAGGTGGGAGCCCCACCAGGCCCAGGGTCCTTGCCCTGACCAGAGAGAGCCCAGCCCTAGGAGACCAGGTCCACAGAGGCTCACTTGTAAGGACACGCCAAAAACTCAGGACCACGTGTGCCTGCAAGGCGAGGCCTGTGCTGTGTCCTACCAGTGGCCCCAGCCCTGGATGGCAGAGAGAACACAGCTGCTTGGGCAGACTCCAAAAGGGAGAGCAGGTACCCTCATCTCTCTCCGGTGGCTTCCGCTGTGATGCTCAGGGCAGCTCCCTGGCTCTCGGTCCCAGAAGCATCTGACCAACCAGAAAGCCCCCAGCCCCTCAGTTCACAAGTTGAGGCATGCAGCACCAGAGGGGTATGGCTTGTCCAGGAAGCTGCAGGAGCACAGGCTCAGGGGTGGACAGTCCAGGCACAGACCCGACTCTGTCACTTACCACTTGTGTGCCCTGGGTGCCACAGTTTCCCCTCCTGACACAGGGGTAGTACTTCTGCCCGTCTCACAGGGAGGTTGTGAGAATTAAATAAGATGGTCCATGAAAAGCATTCAGAATACTGCCTGGTACCTGGTGAGCGAGTTATCAACCAGTAAGGAGCCATCGCCATCCCATGTCACCCAAACCCTGCCCACCGAGGGCAGCGGGCCAGCAAGAGATGTCTGGGAAGCTCAGGGGGTCTGGGCCCACCCGCTCGCTTCTGTGGGGGTCTCCTGGCCCAGGTGCGGTGTAGGCTTGGGGTGGCGGCCGCACCCCATCTCTGCAGTGTCTCCAGACCTCCCTTGCGGGGGGCAGGGTTGGGGAAGAGGCCACGCTGCGGAGGAGACCCTGGGAATGTGGAGCGGCCGCCCCCGGCCCCGGGTGGGAAGGGCTGGAATCCCGGCCCCTCACCCGCTCTGCCCCACAGCGAGGACGACGCTGCCACCGTGTACCGCGCAGCCGCGATGCTGAACATGACCGGCTCGGGGTACGTGTGGCTGGTGGGGGAGCGCGAGATCTCGGGGAACGCCCTGCGCTACGCCCCGGACGGTGAGTGCTGGGCTCCAGGGTCCCGGTGGGCAGGGGTCCCCCACGGGCTCTAAGCCAACGCTTGCCCCAGGCATCATCGGGCTGCAGCTCATCAACGGCAAGAACGAGTCGGCCCACATCAGCGATGCCGTGGGGGTGGTGGCCCAGGCCGTGCACGAGCTTCTCGAGAAGGAGAACATCACCGATCCGCCGCGGGGCTGCGTGGGCAACACCAACATCTGGAAGACCGGGCCGCTCTTCAAGAGGTGGGCGGGGCCGCTCGTCTGAGGTGGGCGGGGCCTCTCTTCAAGAGGTGGGCGGGGCTGCTCGTCTGAGGTGGGCGGGCTGATCTCCTAAAGTGGGCGGGCCACCGTTCCGGCGCTGGGAACAGTCGCTCTTCCCAGGGCGGTCCAGCCCAGCCTGCTGTATCCTGTAGATACCGCCACCTTCCCCAGTTTTCTCCTCTATCCCCCCCGCGCTCCACCCTCACCTCCATCTCCACCACGATAATCACCTGCCCCATTTCCAACACTCGGATGTCACTGAAATCACAGCTGCTTCCGTTTCTCCTGCCCCCACCTTTTCGCACTGCTGCCCACCCTGAGGCCCCACCCCACTCCCCAGGGCGGCTAACAGCCCTGGGGAGGAGGGTCTTGCTTCCGGCCGGGACTGGGAGAGCCCACGGGCCCAGGAGGTCAGACAAGGAATCCAGGTATGGCATCCAAGCCTGTAGAGAGCCAGGGTTGGCCAGAGACCCAAGCGGATGGCCACAGCAGGGCAGGAGTTAACTCAGAGAACCCTGGACACCACGGCACTAGTGTGGGGAGGCCCAGCCCAACACCAACACCGCCAGCCCCAAGTGGCACGTGCAGACCCATGGTCCATGGGGCCCACGACAGGAGCACACGCACAACTGCAGATACAGGCAGCATATGTGCACACGTGCACATGCGTGTGTGCACAGACAGGCTGAGAGGCACATCACACATGTGGCACAAGTACATGCACAGGGCTGCACCCCACGCAAGGATCCTGTGTGCACACATATATGGCCCCCCCCACACACACACACAGGCGTGCACACTCAGGACGACGAGACCCCAGCCCTTCCTCCCCACTGGCTGGTGAGCAGCCCGCTGCTCCTGCCTGGGCTTCCGCCTCTGTGAAGCTAGGACAGCTGCCATGAGAATCGAATATCCCAACCCACAGAAAGCCCTCAAAACAGGGTCTAGAGGCCAGGAGTTGCCCGGCTGCCATAGCTGCGCTGTGCACCTGACTCACAGTGGGCGGGGCTCACTGCATCCCTGATCATTCTAACCCACACTGCCCCCCTCCAGAGTGCTCATGTCTTCCAAGTACGCAGACGGCGTGACCGGCCGCGTGGAATTCAACGAGGATGGGGACCGGAAGTTTGCCAACTACAGCATCATGAACCTGCAGAACCGCAAGCTGGTACAAGTGGGCATCTACAACGGCACCCATGTAGGTGGGGGTCATGAGGGGGTGGGGGCTGGGGCCTTAGGGTCCTGGGGCCAAGACCCCTGCGTGGCCACCCTCCATCTCATACTCCCACCCCCAGGTTATTCCCAACGACAGGAAAATCATCTGGCCAGGCGGAGAGACAGAGAAGCCCCGAGGTTACCAGATGTCCACCAGGCTGAAGGTGGGGGACCCGCCACCCTGCCCTAGCCTCCACACCCAGTATACTCCATCCCGCCCCTCGGGTGCAGAGGAGGGGACAGTGAGGTCAACGAAAGTGGGGGCGGGGCCAGCGCCCGCTGCCATTGCACACACCTGGCACTGCAGAGGCAGCAGGGAGAGCGGGTGGAGGGAGGAGAGGAAGCCGCCGGCCCCCCGTTTCATGGGCTCTGACCCAACTCCACTTAAATCTGGGGAAGTCACGTGGGCCAGGACTCCCCTGGGGATGAGCCGATCGGGGACAGGGGAGCAGATGGGCGTACTTCAGCTTCAGTGCTCTCTGCCCTGAGTCCTGGAGATGATGCCCCCATGCTCTTCATCACACCTCCAAGTGGTCCTAGCCAACCCCCCACGTTTAGCCTTCCTGGCCTCCTGCCGTGACTCGGTCTCACTGTCCTCTGAGCCCGGTCTCCCTACAGCATTCCCTATGGCTGGCCATCCCCTCCATGATTCCCTGGGCCTCTGGGAGCTCCCTTCCCCGGTTGGCCTCATCCCTCACAGCTTCTCTTCCTCGGCCTGACTCTTCCATGCTCCTCTGGACTCATCCCAGGGTGCCCTCCCCAGCGTCCCTCCCACACTGACCCACACCAGCACCGGGCTGGTACCTGAGCTCACAAAAGGCAAGGACCCTCAAGCACTGTGCTTCTCCCAGTGTCCCCGCCCCCAGGTCCTCAAATGTCTCTCAGCCTTGTCTGCTTTCTGAGCTAGCTCCCCCTTGGCCTCTCACCTGGAGCCCTTTGCCAGCACCTGCCCACAGGTCACCACCCCTCTCAAGGGGCAGAGTGGACTTTCCCAAAGCCAACGCTCAGGAAAGACACCTGGTATTGAAAAGTCCGAGTGTAAAACAGACGACAGTCAGCCCGATGGTCCCACGCAGGCTTCGAGAGCCAGATGGCTTTTTACAACTTTTTTTTGTCTCACTGATTTTTTTTTTTTTTTTTTTTGGTACGCGGGCCTCTCACTGCTGTGGCCTCTCCCGTTGCGGAGCACAGGCTCCGGACGCGCAGGCTCAGCGGCCATGGCTCACGGGCCCAGCTGCTCCGCGGCATGTGGGATCTTCCCGGACCGGGGCACGAACCTGCGTCCCCTGCATCGGCAGGCGGACTCCCAACCACTGCGCCACCAGGGAAGCCCTGTCTCACTGATTTTTTTGACACTAAATTGTTTACTTTTTAATTAATTTATATTGGAGGATAGTTGATTTACAATGTTGTGTTAGTTTCTTCTGTACAGCAAAGTGAATCAGTTATACATACACATATATCCACTCTTTTTTAGATTCTATTCCCATATACAGGTCACTACAGGTTATTGAGTAGATTTCCCTGTGCTATACAGTAGGTTCTTATTAGTTATCTGTTTTATATAGAGTAGTGTGTACATGTCAATCCCAGTCTCCCGATTTATCCTCCCATCTCACTGAATTTTTAAAAAATATTTATTTATTTATTTGGCTGCACTGGGTCTTAGTTGCGGCACGAGGGATCTTCACTGCAGCATGTGGGATCTTCTAGTTGCAGCATGTGGAATCTTTAGTTGCAGCATGTGGGATTTTTTTTTTTTTTAGTTGCAGCATGCAGGATCTTCGTTGTGGTGTGCGGGATCTTTAGTTGTGGCATGCGAACTCTTAGTTGCAGCATGTGGGATCTAGTTCCCTGACCAGGGATCGAACCCGGGCCCCCTGCATTGGGAGTGTGGACTCTTAGCCACTGGACCACCAGGGAAGTCCCCTCACTGATTTTTTAAAAGCACGAGCATGTTACTCGCACAATAGAAAACGATGAGGAAAGTTTTAAGGACAAATAAGCTCCTTCAGGGGCTCCCCATCTCCTGCCCTGCAGGCTGAGGCCGGGGGCTACCCGCCCTGGAGGAGAAGGGGCCTCTCACACCGACCCCACGTCCCCTGGGACTCCTCCTCACATGCCGTGCTCGGTTCAGCCCCCTTTGCCTGTATCTGTCCTCCGCACCCCCAGGCTTCAGGCCCCTGAAGGACAGGGAGGAGAGAGCTCTCCAGCGTGAGCCCCAAGGAGCCCCTGGATTGAAGAGGCCTCGGCAGAGAGGGCGGCATCAGCGGGGAAGAGGAAGGGAGGAAGGATAGATGATCAGACAAAGACCCGCTGCAGGGGAGGCTGAGGTCAGGAGAGGCCGGAGCACCAGACAAGGGCAATCCCTGCGGGTCCCCGGACCTGTGCAGGCTCTGAGTGCACATGCCTCTGTCCTCGTGGCAGGGGTGGGGGCAGGGGGCAGGCTCTGGGCTGGGACAGGTGGTTTCTCAGCCCTGAGACGTCAGAGAAGGGGCCCAGGGCCGACTTTAGTGATGTGCAAGCCAAGACCCAAAGGAAAGTGGCCAAGAGCAGGCGCGGTGTTTCAGGAGGCTGGGCGCCTTCTGAATGCTGAGGTGGCCTGGGCACGACGGGGGAGTCTGGGGCCCCTCCGGCAGGCAGCAGGCCGACCAACTTCCTGAAGCTCCAGAGGGGGCAGTGTGGGGCATTTGCAGGGGGCGGGGCGGGGGGGCGGTCCAGGGGAGTCTGCATGCTGAGAAGAGGACAGCACCCCAGGGCAGCCCAGGGCTGGTGGTCCAGGCTGGGTGTCCCCCTCCCCTCCAGATCGTGACGATCCACCAGGAGCCCTTCGTGTATGTCAAGCCCACGCTGAGCGACGGCACGTGCAAGGAGGAGTTCACCGTGAACGGGGATCCGGTGAAGAAGGTGATCTGCACCGGGCCCAACGACACGTCGCCGGGCAGCCGTGAGTGCGGGGCTGGGGCGTGGGCCGCGGAGCGGGCGGGACGGCGCACCTGCGAGCCCCTCACTTAGCGCCCCTCCCCTCCGCCCAGCACGCCACACCGTGCCTCAGTGCTGCTACGGCTTCTGCATCGACCTACTCATCAAACTGGCGCGGACCATGAACTTCACTTATGAGGTGCACCTAGTGGCGGACGGCAAGTTCGGCACGCAGGAGCGGGTACGCGTGGGTCTCTGGAAGCCGGCGCGGGACCCAGTCCAGGTGGACCCTGTCTGGCTAGGGTCAGGGTCTCGGGTGGGCGGGGTCTGCAGGCTGGGTGGAGCCTGGGTGGGCGGGGCCTTCGAGCCAGGCGGGGTCTGGAGTGGGAGATCCCGAGATGGGTCAGGGAGGGAGACTGTCCGGTCCGGGGAGCAAGGCCCGCCCGCGATGGCCGTGTCACCACCGGCTGTGTCTCCCCACAGGTGAACAACAGCAATAAGAAGGAGTGGAACGGGATGATGGGCGAGTTGCTCAGCGGGCAGGCAGACATGATCGTGGCGCCGCTGACCATCAACAACGAGCGCGCACAGTACATCGAGTTCTCCAAGCCCTTCAAGTACCAGGGCCTGACCATTCTGGTCAAGAAGGTGGGCAGGGGCCCAGCAGGGCGGGGTGGGGTCCTGGGAGGGCCTTGGCGGCGCTGACGGCCCGGCCTCCCACAGGAGATCCCCCGGAGCACGCTGGACTCGTTCATGCAGCCCTTCCAGAGTACGCTCTGGCTGCTGGTGGGGCTGTCAGTGCATGTGGTGGCCGTGATGCTGTACCTGCTGGACCGCTTCAGGTGAGCGCGGCCCGGGGGCCGGACTCCTCCCCCTGCGGGGCGGGCGGGGCGGGCGCGGCGGGACGGGGCGGGCGAGGGGGCGGGGCAGGGCTGCCTCTCCCGCCCTCTCCCGCCCGCCCTCTGCGCCCCCGCAGCCCCTTTGGCCGGTTCAAAGTGAACAGCGAGGAGGAGGAGGAGGATGCGCTGACCCTGTCCTCGGCCATGTGGTTCTCCTGGGGCGTCCTGCTCAACTCGGGCATCGGGGAAGGTGAGGCCACGCCCGGCCCGGGCCCCACGCTGCTCCGCAACCCTCACGCCCCAAGCCGGGAGCTGACCGTCCTCTGCCCGCAGGCGCCCCCAGAAGCTTCTCGGCGCGCATCCTGGGCATGGTATGGGCCGGCTTCGCCATGATCATCGTGGCCTCCTACACTGCCAACCTGGCGGCCTTCCTGGTGCTGGACCGGCCCGAGGAGCGCATCACCGGCATCAACGATCCCCGGGTGAGGCCTGGCCCGGCGCGGGTAGCGGGGCGTGAGGTCAGCGGCTGCCTGGGGTGGGGCCGGAGAGCAGCCGCGAGCCGGGCCCTCCGACCCTCTGACCCTGCAGCTGAGGAATCCTTCGGACAAGTTCATCTACGCGACGGTGAAGCAGAGCTCCGTGGACATCTACTTCCGGCGGCAGGTGGAACTGAGCACCATGTACCGGCACATGGAGAAGCACAACTACGAGAGCGCGGCCGAGGCCATCCAGGCCGTGCGGGACAAGTGAGGGGGCGGGGCGGGGCGCTGGCCTGGGCGGGAGCAGTGGGGGCGTCCATCTTTCCAGTCAAAGTCAGAGTGTCCAGGCTGGATGCGAACCACGGGAAGGGGATAGACAGGGGGTTTCCAGGCTGGCGGGCGGGACTGCAAGGGCGCCAGGGCGGCCCGAACGTGTGGGCCCTGTGACCCTGCCCCAGTGACCCTGCCCCTGTGACCCCGCCCCTGTGACCCCGCCCCCCTGACCCCGCCCCCCGGCCCCCGCCCCCGGCCCCGTGACCCTGCCCCTGTGACCCTGCCCCTGTGACCCTGCCCCTCTGCCCCCGCCCCTGTGCCCCTGCCCCTGTGCCCCCGCCCCTGTGACCCTGCCCCTGCCCACAGCAAGCTGCATGCCTTCATCTGGGACTCGGCGGTGCTGGAGTTCGAGGCCTCGCAGAAGTGCGACCTGGTGACCACCGGCGAGCTGTTCTTCCGCTCAGGCTTTGGCATCGGCATGCGCAAAGACAGTCCTTGGAAGCAGAACGTCTCCCTGTCCATCCTCAAGTGAGTCGGCCCCACCCCGCCCCCCTCCAAGAGCCCCACCCAAGGCACACCGCCTCCCCCACCAACGTAGCCCCCAGATGCACGCCATCTGCCCCGCCCCGCCCCGCCCCGCCAGTGCCGGCCCAGCCTCCTCCTCGGCTCACATGCCCCGCCCGCCCAGGTCCCACGAGAACGGCTTCATGGAAGACCTGGACAAGACGTGGGTGCGGTACCAGGAGTGTGATTCGCGTAGCAACGCCCCTGCTACCCTCACGTTCGAGAACATGGCAGGTGGGCCCCCCACACCCCCGACACCAGTGCTGACGCCGGGTGGACTCCCCGGGGGCCGGCTGCCTGGCCCGCCCGCAGCTGAGGCGCTGGGTCTTGGCCCGCAGGGGTCTTCATGCTGGTGGCTGGGGGCATCGTGGCCGGGATCTTCCTGATCTTCATCGAGATCGCCTACAAGCGGCACAAGGATGCTCGCCGGAAGCAGATGCAGCTGGCCTTTGCAGCAGTGAACGTGTGGAGAAAGAACCTGCAGGTAGGGCAGGCCACCCTCCGAGGCCTGGTGCCCACGGCTCGGCCTGGCCCCGGCCCTCCTCCATCCCCGCAGGCCGAAGCGTGGCTCTGGCTCCCAGGAGCCCCTGTGGCGAGGACTGGAGCTGGGAGCCACGGCCAAGGCTGCGCTGCTGGGGGCCACCCGCAGGTGGCCGCCTCCGCAAAGCCGGGCTTCAAGCGTCCGCCTGGCCCCTCTGTCTCCAGAGTCGCCCACCGGCGCCCATTCCATAGGAAGGCAAACTGAGGCAGGGTAAGACAGGGACCCACCTGGGTGTAGCATGTGAGTCCAAGACGCACTCTGCCCTCGCCGCCCCGCGCCCCTCCTTGGCACCCTCTGGGGACCCCCTTGCCCGCGGCCCTGGTGTGTCCTGTGCTCCATATAACTCCAGTCTTAACTGGCCGGCCGCTCCTGCCTGCAACCCCAGGCTGTGTCTGTGGGAAGTTGCCGCCAGCAGAGGACAGGCTGCACGTGGGGTGGCCACAGCCCACCTGGGACGGGCTCGTGCCCCATAGTCCAGCCCCAGTCTGCCCCATCTCTTCTCTTTCTCTGGGTACCTCCCCGGAGCCTGTGCCCTGGGAGGAAGCTGGTGCTGCAGGGAGGGAGGGCCGGGGCGACGGGGCTGCTGGAAGCCCACGCCTCTCATCTGCCCTCTCTTGCTCTTGGGACCTGGCCGCTGCTCTCACTGGCGGGCACAGGGCCCGTCCTGACCATCAGACCCGAGGCCAGGGTCCCAGGAGCTGCCTCCGTCTCTCTGTCACTCCAGCGCATCTCGCCACCTGCCTTCGGCCCCTCAGCCCCTTCCTGAATCTTGGTGCGCCTCCTCGGGGGTCAGAGTGGCCGGTGGGGCCGGTGGGGCAACCCCTCCCGTGCTCAGAGGGCTCCTCCTCCTCGGGACGCCCCTAAACCAGGGGCACCTCGGAGCCAGGGAGCCAGGCGGACCTCCCAGGAAGAGAGCCAGATGGGACCCCCCGAGCCCAGCCCCAGCATGAGCGAGGTCAGGCCCGAGAGCCGGGCAGGAGCAGAGGCCGCCTGCGAGTGTCCGACCATCGGTCGGTCCATCCAGCACAGGGAGGCAGGCCGGAGTGAGGGCCCGAGTGGCCAGCCAGGCCGGGCAGCAGCCCCCAAGGAGCAGGCGAGGGCAGGTGTGGCCGCCACCCTTAGCCGTCTAATCACTTATACATATTCATTTTAGGATAGAAAGAGTGGTAGAGCAGAGCCTGACCCTAAAAAGAAAGCCACATTTAGGGCTATCACCTCCACCCTGGCTTCCAGCTTCAAGAGACGTAGGTCCTCCAAAGACACGGTAAGGGGAAGAGCGCCCAGTTCCACGTCTCCGACTCTGATCTCGCCCCTCCGTGTCTGTGTCCCGTGCATCAGGCCCCTCCCTCGCCATCCCACCCGCTCCCACCTCTGACTGCCGTGGCCTTTCTGCCCTCACCTCTACTCGCCCAGCACACTAGGTCTTCTCTCTCTGACTCTCTAGATCTTTCTCTCGTGGTCCTTTCTCCCGCTGGCCCTCACCGGGTCCTCTTCCCCGTGTGTCTCTGCGTTAGTCTGCCCCCCACCCATGCCATGACGCCATGCGCCATCTTGAAGCCGTGTCATGTTGTTGGTCAGCCAGCCGGCCTCACCGCGTCGGGGCTGTGCCCGGGGCCCCGGGAGCCTGGACCACCCTGTCCCAGGCTCCTCACCTGTCAGGAGGCCGCACCACCTCTCTGTTACGTCCGCTTCTCCAGCCTCTCCCAGAGAGGCCCACCGCCCTCCCTCCCTCCCTGCGACGTCCACGGAGGGATGGCTGTGATGTCCCATCCGCCCATCTGTCTGGCCGCCAGCCCTGCCACCCAGACACCTGTCTCACGTGTCTCACCAGAGCCATGCCTGTTGCATTCCCTCCATGTGGTCTCTGTGTGGGCCGGGGCTGGGGGCCAGGCCTGGCTCCATCTGGGTGGACGGCTGGGGCCTGGAGTTGGTACAGGCCCCTGGCCACAGGGGACGTCAGGTGGGGAATGGGTGGGACCAAAGGAGGCGGCTCCCACCCCAGGCCGAGCAGGGGCCCTGCAGGAGGCGTGCCGGCAGCACCCAGGGATCTGAGAACGGATGGAGGTGGGCCTGAAAGCCGTGGCCTCCAAGCCGTGGGCACTGAGGCTCCTAGACAGAGGCTCGGGAAGGGGAGGCCTCTACGGAGATCAGTGCCTCAGCGCCTGGCCCCCCGCCCCTCCAGAGCCAGGCCTTCCACCTGAGCCAAGAATTCCCTGCCTCTCTGCCTTGGGCAGCCTGTCACTGGCCCAGATGTGCGCGCTCGAACCAAAGGCCCCCCAGACTGACCCAGCCTTGCTAGGAGCATCCCCAGGTGGGGAGGGGGCCGCCCAGAGCCAGCACAGCCCTCAGTCCAGCGGCCTCCCTGCAGTCAGGGGTGGTCTGGCCTCCAGTCCGCAGGAAGCCCCAAATTCGTGGGCAGCATCACCCATCTGCTCCAAGGTGGAAGGAAGCAGGATTTGCAGCCACCACCCCCAGTGCATGGGAAGAGGGGCAGACACAGGACACAGACAGGGCTCAGCACAGAGCCATCTGAGTCCCAGGGGAAGCCACCAGCGCGCCCCATGAGGGGCCTGTAAGGCCTGGGGGCTCCACTTCCCAGAGCTCAGCACAGACAGGGTGGGGGGACAGGGAGGATCTGCGGGGCTGGGAGCACAGGCCTGGGGCTGTCCAGGCCCGGGAAGTGGGTGGAGCCTGAGCCAGGGGACTCAGCAGGGGGTGCAGGAAGAGGAGGATCCGACAGGAGCAGGGGTGGGGCAGTCGGGGGGAGGGGCGAGAAGGTACCCAGCAGACAGCGCTTTGGGGGCCCGCAGAGTCTCGCAGGCAGTGGGCCATTTTCTGAGGGCATCACTGAGTCCTTACCCCGCATTCCGCCCTGGAGCAGAAATGCAGGCCCCTTAGCTGGGCCAGGTGCAGCTCAGAGACCCTCATGGTGCCTTTCCAGGGACACGCTCCCAGCAGACTCCTTGCCCGAGCCTCCCCAGGGGCCATCCTCCAGGCCAGCTTTGGTGCCACGTGGTATCTGGGGCTGGCCTGCCCTGCAGGGGTGACTGGGGACACTGCAAGCTGGGGGCTGGGCGGGGGAGGGCAGCCTAGCTCCCACCATTTCAGGCTGGGCGCCTGCTCGGAGGGAGGCCTGGGTGGGGGGCTCTGTCGGGAGGGGTGGGGTCAGTCCGGCTGCTGAGATCCTCTGCCCCTGTCCCGTGGCTGGTCTGGGCCAGGGCGGCACTGGGCGCTCAGGGCTGGGGTCCCTGGCGGCCGGCGGGGCCAGCGGGTATTGATTGTTGGTTCTTATTTATAGAGCACCGGGGGTGGACGCGGCGCTTTGCAAAACCAAAAAGACACAGTGCTGCCGCGACGCGCTATTGAGAGGGAGGAGGGCCAGCTGCAGATGTGTGCCCGTCATAGGGAGAGCTGAGACGCCCTGCCCGCCCTCCTCTGCCCCCCTCCCCCGCAGACAGACAGACAGACGGACGGGACAGCGGCCCGGCCCACGCAGAGTCCCGGAGCACGACGGGGTCAGGGGGAGGAGCACCCCCCAGCCTCCCCCAGGCCGCGCCCGCCTGCCTGCCGGTCGGCCGGCTGGCCGGTCCACCCGTCCCGGCCCCGCGCATGCCCCCTGAGCGTCGGGCTAACGGGCGCCTTGTCTGTGTATTTCTATTTTGCAGCAGTACCATCCCACTGATATCACGGGCCCGCTCAACCTCTCAGATCCCTCGGTCAGCACCGTGGTGTGAGGCCCCCGGAGGCGCCCACCTGCCCAGTTAGCCCTGCTGCTCGGGAAGGCCTGAGGGAAGCCCACCTGCCAGAGACTGCCCACCCTGGGCCTCCCGTCCGTCCGTCTGCCCTGCTGCCTGGCGGGCAGCCCCTGCTGGACTGAGGCTCGGGCCAGAGCTGCTGAGGACGGGTCAGAGCTGAGCTGGCTGGGCAGGGCCGCAGGGCGCTCCGGCAGAGGCAGGGCCCTGGGGTCTCTGAGCAGTGGGGAGAGGGGCTGACTTGGCCCCGGGCAGAGGGCCTTGGAGCAGAGACTGAAGCCCCATCCTTCCCCAGCCACCACCAGAGCCACCATGGGGGCCCTTGGCCCCGGCTGGCTGGGTCCCCCGCTCCCGCAGCGCCGGCACCCCACAGCCTTGTCCCCACCTCTCCCTTCTTGCCCACACCCCTTCTCCGCTTGACCCCATCCTGAGCTGGCCCTGCCCTTCCCGGACTGCAGACCCTGACCCCCCAGCTGGCAGCCGCCTCCCAGGGGCGCGCTCGGGCTCCCCACTGCCTCCCCCTTCTCCGGACTCCGTGAGGGCTGAGCCTTCTCTTCGCCTCCTCTGGCCCGCAGCCCAGGATGCGCTTCCCCGGACGCCGGCTCGGGACTGTCTTCAGCCCCGCGCGCCACCTTGTACAGGCCCAGCCCTTCCCGCGTCCAGGCGTGTGCCTTCCCCCGTTGCGGTCCGAGCGCCGCCGCGCACTGCCCCTCCGCCCCAGGGGCCCGGCGTGCACCGCCTTCCACCCCCCCCCCCCACCCGGTGTGTGTAGTGGTGATGCCGAAAGGAATGTCAAGAAAACTTCTATCTGTGTCGCTTGTTGACGCCTGCAGGGAGTGCGAAGGAGGGCAGGGGATAGGGCGAAGGTTCGAGGGCGGCCGCGGCCCGCTCAGGCTTCGGCGGCGGCGACTGCCGCAGGCGAGGCCATGCCGGCACCGGGATCCGGCAGACTCCTCAGCGGGCGGCGGGCGGCGGCGCGGCGGCGGCGCGCGCGGCAGGCGGTAAGCATGGAGCCCAGCGCCAGGCAGGCGGCCAGGCTAGCGAGGAAGGAGACGGGCCCGAGCGCGTAGACCACGGCCAGTTCCCGCGCGGCAAGGGGCCGCGCGCAGTGGTTGAAGGCGGCGTCGGGGAAGGCGGTCAAGGGGCTGAGCGGCAGGCGTCCCGGCGACACGCAGATCAGCGTCTCGGCCTCTGCGGGACACGGGAGCGGCGTCAGGCGACGGCGGCGGCAGTGGCCCGCCCCGCCCCGCCCACGCCCCCGAGGGCTCACCTGGCGCGGGCAGCGGGTGCCTGCGCAGCCAGGTGCAGAGTGGGCGCAGCGCGCAGCCGCAGGCCCAGGGGTTGCCGCGCAGTCGCAGCGTGCTGAGAGCGGGCAGGCCCGCCAGGAGCGCGGGCGCGAGGGCAGGCAGCTCGTTGTCCTGCAGGCTGAGCGTGCTCAGCAGCGGGAGCGTGCCCAGCGCCGCGGGCTCTAGACGCGCCAGCCGGTTCCCGGCCAGAGAGAGGACGCAAAGCGCGCGCAGCGGAGCGAAGGTGCCGGGCACCAGCGCCTCCAGCTGGTTGGCGCTGAGGTCGAGCTGCTTCAGCGCGCCCAAGCCCCAGAAGGCTCGCGCGTGCACCCAGCGCAGTCCGTTCTCGCGCAGATCCAGGTGTAGCAGCGCGCCAGCGCCCACGAAGGCGCCGGGCGGCAGCGCACGCACGCGGTTGTGGTCCAGCAGCAGCGCGCGCACGCGCTGGCTCAGGCCCCCTGGCACGGCGGGCAGCGCGCGCCCGGAGCAGTTGGCCTGGCCCTCTGGCGCGCACGCGCACGCCTCGGGGCAGTCCGGGGCGCCCGGGGTTGCCGCGGGGGCGGCTGCGGGGGGCGCCTGGATCCAGACTGGCCACGGCGACAGCAGCAGTAGGAACAGCGGCGGCGGCCGTCGCGAGAGAAAGGAGGGGCTCCGCATGGGGGCAACGGTAGGAGGCCAGCTGCCCAGGCGTCCCGGGAGCCCGTCCGTCCCACGGCTGGTCCCGTGCCTAGGGCGGAGGCTGGGCACATAGCCAGCGCCCGGCACTGCCAGCCACCTGTCCTGAAGCTCTGAGCTCCTCTTGGCTCCGCACCAGCAGCAGCACTGACAAGGCGCCACCCCCTCCTCACCTGCGTGGCCCACCGCCCCGCACCCGGCTGAGGCCTGGGCAACTGGACCACACCGCCGCCCCCGCAGCCTCACCGCCACTGAACTCATGGCTGCGACACGCGGAACAGGACCCAGTGCTACCCGCTCCTCCCCCGAGTCTCCGCCGCCTCCTCTCAGCCGGGATTCTAGTGCGCATATCCAGTAGCCCCCCAGGGATGCTCCCATCCTCATGGGGCACAAGCACAGGATGGGGGCCTGAGCCCAGGGGACAGGCAGTGAGGTAGAGGGAGGGCTGCACGCCTGAGGAAGGCGAGGCCATCACATCTGCCCCACCCTGCCCACCAGGGACTCTGCCGGAACTTCGAGGAGGCAGTGTGGTGGAGCAGGGGCACCAGCCCAAGTCCTCCTGCCACATGCTGCTCCCTCTGGACTCACCAGAGTTGCAGGTCCTGTCCCGGCATTTTCCTGGGGTGGGGGTGGGGGTGGGGGTGGGATGGACAGGGGCTCACGGGGGGGGGGGGGGGGCTGTCTGCTTCATGGGACAAAGCAGCAGGAAGATGCAGGGAGGAGCTGGGCTGACGCCACGATGGCAGGAAGTGGAAACCCCAGGGGTGTGCTCCCTGCCCTGCAGGGTGGACAGCGGGAGCCCAGCATGGGCACTGGGCACCCCACTGAAGAGACAGGAGGCGACGCAGACCCCTCCCCCACCCCAATAGCATCTGCAGAAGGGCTCGAGGGGGGCCAGCAGGGAGGACAACGCAGACCTGCTAACTACTGTTTAATTCCCCTTCCCCCAGCTGCCCAAAGCCCTACTGAGGCGGCAGGGGTTGTGGGGGCAGCTCCTCTAGGGTCGAGTCCACGGTGATGGTCGTGAGGCCGTGATCTTCCAGGGGCGGCATCATGGAGACCTCCATTTCAGGGGCCATGAGGTGGGACCCCATGTGCACCGCGTGCAGGTCCATGTGATCTTCCTGAGCCCCGCAGTGCCCCACCAACCTGCACAGCGTGGTCCAGGTCAGGCTAGCTGCAGGCGGCCATCAGCATGGGCTCATGAGGCCTCAACCACCCGGGGCTCCTGCCGTGTCTGTGAACCACACCTCCCGGGGGTGGGGGGTCAGGGAGCAGGGGCACAGCTCGCCCTGGGGGTCCTCCCCCGGGGTCACTCACCTGCTCTCCACGTGTCCGGGGCATCTTTCACTGAGGGGCGGGGGGGAACAAAGGTAAGGTGTGAGTCTGGGAACAGTGGGGTTGGCCTCCAGGAGCCCAGCGGTGCTCCCCACACCTCTCCCCATCCCATTCTGGGAGACTCCATTCCCAAGCCCCTGGTGACCTCGCCCATTGAGACCAAGGGCCCAGGGGGACGGCCCGGCCCCACAGCCCTCACACGCCCGCCCTGGCCCTGGGGCTCACGCACCCCTTGGCTCGAATGACGCCAACCGCCACGATGATGAGAGCGCAGAAGCAGCTGGCGCTGATACCCGCCAGCACCACCAGCAGGGCAATGAGGGCCTTGTGGCTGAGGCCAAGGCTACACTCACAGTAGGTCCCAGCTGCAGAGACAGGGCCAAGGGGCTCTTATCACCTCCCAGTGGGTCACCCCCAAGCCTGCCCTCCCACCCCCGGCAGCCACCAGAAGGACACGGGTGCGCCTGGCCTGCCTGAACCAGGGAGGGGCCCTGGCTGGGGACAGGGTTGGGGAACAGGAGGAGACACCTGCAGCAGGGATGAGCAAAAGGGACAAACATATCAGGCCGAGGGGGCGGCCAACCAGGCAGGAGTCAGGCTGGAGACAGGGGGCCATCTCCACGCCTCTGGAAAGAACTCATCGGAAGGCGCTGACCTCACAATGGAGCTGTGAGGCAGGGAAGGTGGGGGCAGGGCCTCGCCTTGGGCACCGCCCTCAGGTGCTGGGCTCCGAGAAGCCCTGGGCAGGCAGCCCCAGGGTAGGGCAGGTAGGGCGGCCGGGGCCTGGGAGTCACTCCAGAGTGCCCTGGCCAGATCTGGGGCAGGGGCAGTGGTGGGGCTGCCGTGGTCTTGGAAGGAGAGCGCTTCACGGCAAAGGGGCAGCGGCTGCACTTGGGACCCTGGGGTCGCAGAGGCAGCGGCTTGGAAACCCAGAGAGGTCCACAGTGGGCAAGCCTGGGCCTCAGTTTCCCTGTCAGGATAAGGGCTGCGGCAGCTTAGGTGGGGCCTGGGATCCAGCTGACTGATGTCACCACCCTCTCCCCAAGACTGGAATAAGCAGGGACCAAGTGAGGCCCGGGGGGTGGACACGCACCCACCGCCCCATACGGGCCCCAGCAGTGTTTCGCAGAACACCCTCAAGGAGCAGGTGGCTGGGGCTCTGGCTTAAGTGTGTCATTACAGTTAGAGCTCACGACCACCGCCGCAGTCTGTCCCCTGTGCAGCCTCTCGCAGACCAGGCAAGCGCTGTCCACAGGAGGCTGGCACGGCTGGGGTTAACCTCAGCCTCCTCCCCTAAGGACCTGCCGAGCAAACCCAGGCAGCAGAAGCAAATACCTGCCCCCCCCACGGCTAACCCCACAGGGCACTGGGGGGTGGGGGGTGCCCCGCTGGGCCGCAGCCAACCCCTGGTCACTGGGGGCCTCCCTGACCCTCACACAGGTGCCCCTCCTGGTGGCAGCTCCTGGCACACCTCTACACCTGTTGAGTGATCCTATGACCTGAGACGCTGGGTTTCACCACACTCATCCACAAACAGTCCAAAGGGACTCAGGGCAGGTGTGTCCCGGCCCAGCGGCTGGCACTGCCACCCTGCCAGGCCAGTCCAGCAGGTCTGCATCCTGGTTAGGATGACGAAGGCATGCCCAGCCCAGTGCCAGGCAGGAAGTCCCTCTTCTTTTTTTTCTTTAAGTGTCTATATTACTTTTTTATTTATTTTATTTATTTTCGGCCGCGTCGGGTCTTCGCCGCTGCGCGCAGGCTTTCTCTAGTTCCAGTGAGCCGAGGCCACTCTTCGTCGCGGTGCGGGGCCTTCTCATTGCAGCGGCTTCTCCTGTTGAGGAACACAGGCTCCAGGCGCGAGGGCCTCAGCAGTTGTGGCTCACAGGCTCTAGAGCGCAGGCTCAGTAGTTGTGGTGCACAGGCTTCAGTAGTTGTGGCACTCGGGCTCAGTAGTTGTGGCTCGCGGGCTCTAGAGCGCAAACTCAGTAGTTGTGGCACGCAGGCCCAGATGCTTCACGGCATGTGGGATCTTCCCGGACCAGGGCTCAAACCCATGTCCCCTGCATTGGCAGGCGGATTCCTAACCACTGCGCCACCAGGGAAGTCCCAAGCCCCTCTTGTGACCACAGTGCAGCCCGCCTTGGAGGGGCCAAGCAGGTAGAGCCCAAGGCAGGGACCCACTGGCCTGTCAGAGTCCTCAAACTGCTAAGGCTATGCAGCTAATCTCTCCAAATCCCACAGCAAACACCACCCTGTGGAGCAAGAAGGAAAAGCCGTAGAGGGAGCTCCCTGGCAGTTTAGGGGTTCGGATTGCGGGCTTCCACTACTGTGGCCTGGCTTCAATCCCTGGGTGGGGAACCGAGGTCCCAGAAACTGCACGGCACAGCCAAGAAGCAGAAGAAAGAAAAGCCCCAGAGCAGGACTGACACTAGGGCCCTCGAGCAGAACAGGCCAAAGAGCGGAGTGGGGGCACCGGGGCACAGACTGGTGGGGAGCCGCAGCGTGTCTGGGGGGCAGCGGGCATGGCTCCAGGCCTGGGAATGCACCGCAGGGAGGAGCAGGGCAGTGGAGACATTCGTTCCAAAGGGCCTTTGTTGCCATGGGGACAGCGCCACTGGGCTCGAGCAGTTCCCGCTGGACAAGTGAAGGTCTGGGCCGCGGAGGCTGTGGCACCGAGCACGGCTTTGAAGGCCTTGGGCTGGCAGAGCTCACAGCCTCCCCGCCTCCTGGGACCTGGGAGCAAGGGCAGTGCAGGGCCCCCAGTGCCGGCCTTGGACAGGACCCTGTGCTCCGGACACAACAGCCCTGTGCTGCAGCTCTGGGGATGGCTGGACTCACTGGGCCCGGCATCTTGTGCTAGGAACATCGAGGCCCCCAGGCGCTCCTGACCACACGTCTCCGGGCACAGAAAGAACTGGCCTTTCTGAAAGCACTCTTCCTTGGAAGCCCCCAGCACTGCAGCTGCCCGAGCCTAGGCGTATCCCAGGCAGCACGTCATGCTGGAGACGCAAGAAGTTCTTGGCTTCACACGGGCTGCCTGGCCACTTGCCCACCTCATGCATTCTGATGGGGCCCCCCACCCCGGGCCGCAGCAGCAGCCCTGGGGCTCTCAGCCCAGCACTTGGGCGCCAGACTCTCGTGCCAGGCAGAGAGAGGGGGACCCGAGGGCTTCTTTCAAAGGCCAGAGGGGTGAGGCTGGAGCTGGATGTCCCTCAGGAGGGCGGCCCAGGAGGGCCCATCTCCCAGACAGCCCACCCCCCGTGAGCTCCTGCCCAAGCCATGAGAGTGAGGGGGGCCCCTGTCAGCCACGGTGGCCCAGAGATACCACGTGCCAGGACTCCCGGCCTGGAGCCCAAATACAGGTGTGCAGCTCCCCACCGACTCCTGGGGCCCGGGCTCTGCCAGGCTCTGCCAGAGGCTGGTCTGGAGGGAGAACCTGACCGCATGCCCACGAAGCCCACAGAGCCAGCAGGACAGGGAGGGAGGAAGAACCGTCTGCTTTACTCTCATCCTGGGGGCCGGGCGGGGACTGGCGACGGCTCAGCCGCAGCTCTTGGGCAGGCGGTAGACGCCGGCGGAGTAGACGAGCTGCTGGTCGCGCACCTTCCTCTGCAGGAAGCCCTGGAGCTCCTGCAGGTCGATCTCGGCCAGCGCGGGGCCGGTGACCACGAACATGCGCAGCATGCTGTAGATGCGCTCCAGCGACAGGCTCTCCAGGTTGGTCAGCATGGCCTGGATGTATGTCCAGAAGAGCTGCGGGCACGGCGGCCGGGGCCGGCGGTCAGGCCGCGCTGGGCGGCGCCCCCCCCCGCCCCCGCCCGGCCCGGGCCCCGCGCGCACCAGCAGCTCCTCCTCCCTCTGGTCGGCCTGCGAGGCCATGCCCGAGTCGCTCTCGTCGTCGCTGTCGACGAGCACCATGCTGTCCCGGTCCTGGGGCCGCTCCTCCTCCACCACTGAGAAGGTGCCGGCCGGCTCCTCTCGCAGCACGCCCTGCTGCAGCCACACCGACACGCGCCGCCGCAGCAGCGCCACGGGCATCTTCACCACCTTGCTCAGCTCCTCCAGCGTCCAGCTGGCTGTGGGCGGGGCGGGACCGACAGGACCCTCAGGGCACAGCCAGGGCCGCCTGGGTCCCACCCACCCTCCACCACCCTCCACCACCCTCCACCGGACACGGAACGGTGCCCTCCCGGGAGGCGCGGCCAGAGCAGGGCGGCTGGGGGCTCACCTTGGTCCTGGAAGTACAGCAGGACCACCGCCTGCACAGGGGTCACCGCCACGGACAGGGTACGGTCAGCCAGCTCCACATCCATGGTCACTAGGCCCAAGGTGTGCTTCCAGCTGAGCGTCCGCATGGCCTGGGGAGGGCTGGGGTCAGCACGGGCCACCCAGCGGGTCCAGCTGGACAAGGCTTTGCTACCTGGGACCGGGTGAGGAAGGGCTCCCTGACCGGCCCCCACCCTGGCGGGCAGCGACGGGACCAGCACACGGCGGGACTCCAGTCCCCTCCCCCTCCCCCGGCACCCCCTAACAGCGAGGGCCCCTGCACCTCTGAGAGAAACGTCCACGTCCTGGCCCCAGGACCCCAGAAAGTGGCCTGACTTGGACACTAGGCCTTTGCAGATGTCGTTAGGGAAGAAGAGGTCGTGCTGGAGTACCGCGAACCCTAATCTAACTCAGTAAGTGTCCTCGCGGGAGGGCAGACGGCATTCGAGGCTGGAGCGACACAGGCGCCCCTGGAGGCCGGCAGAGGCAGGGAGGACTCGCCCGCAGCCTCCAGAAGGCCCTCACCTCCATCTCACACCCCGGCCTCCAGAGCCGAGAGAAGTTCCTGTTTTAGCAGCTGGTGTGCGGTACTTTGTTACAGCCACCACAGGACAGCGGTACAGACTTCCGCCGGAGGCGAAGGTGCTGCTGCAGCAAATACCTTTTTAGAACACGTGGACGTGGCTGCGGTGTTGGGGGATGGGGAGGGCTGGGCAAGTTTTGAGCTGCAGGCTCATAAAATCTTGGGTTGCCCTGGAGAGGCTACTGGTAGAAATACAGACAGGAAAGGCCATTCCAGTGAGGCCTGCTGAAGCAAGGAGCACATCACCGGAGATGGGAGGAAAGGCGACCCGTCACGCGGCGGCAGAAACGTGCTCTGCTGGGTGGAAAGCAGAACTCGCAAGGGAGGAACCTGGACGTTAGGCTGAGATTTCCAAGCAAAGTATGGAAGGTGCAGCCTGCCTTCTCCTCACCGCTTGTAGTGAATTGAGAGAGAAAACCGAGGGAGGACGTGGTGAGCAGAAAGGAGCCAGGAGCACTGGGTGGTTTGCACATCTTGCCGTGTGCTCTGCAGACAGAGCCTCTATGGCCCTAGAGGTGACCTGTGTCAAGGTGGCACCAACCAGCAGTGCCCAGGAGCCAGGACAGAGGGGTCAGTAGAGGTGTGAGAGCCCCCAGGCCCACGGACTGGACGCCGAGAACTGCACGGAGGCCAGCAAGGCTCCTGAGAATTTAATAGCAGTGGAAACGATGCCAGCCTGGGTGGAAAGGGAGGGACAGCCAGAGGGAGAGCATGACTCCGAGGGCAGGGCCGTGCTGCAGAGGCCTGGCCTGGCAGGGTGGGGCTGCCCCCGAGGGCAGAGAAGACTGGCACCCAGCCAGATGGAGTGGAATTTCCTCCAGTGGAATTCAGACTTGCTTAGGGCCTGGGAACCCTCCCTTCCTTCCAGTATCTCCCTTTTGGAGGGCAGGTGTCTGCCCAACACCTGTCCCACCACTAGACTTCGGAAGCAGAGAAAGATTTATTCATAGGTTTACAGCTGAAGGAGAATCGTGCCCCAGCTCTCACCCTGACCTGACTTAGAGATCTGGGACTTTGAGCTGGTGCCAGAATGGTTAAAATCTGGGGACGCTGGACGTGGCTAAATGTAACTTGCACGTGAGAAGAACGTGAATTTGGGGGGCCAGAAAGTAGACTCTCACAGGCTGAACTGTGAGCTCCACAAATGATGTTAAAGTCCTCACCCCCAGTGCCTCAGAACGTAACCCTATTTGCCAGTCGGGTCACTACAGATGCAGCTAGTTAAGGTGAGGTCACACTGGCGTGGGGGGCCCTTAATCCAGTACGACTGGTGTCCCCATAAGAAGAGGAGAACGTGGACACAGAGACACCAGGAGAGGCCGTGGGGCACGATGCAGGGGTGAGTGACGCCTCTACAAGCCGACGACACCTGGAGCCCCAGCAGCTGAAAGCGGCAAGAGGACCCTCCCCTGGAGCCTTTGGAGGGGGCGCGGCCCTGCCCACACCTTGGCTGTGAACTGCTGGCTGCCAGAACCGGAACAATAAATTCCCGGGGCACCGACGGCGCCTGTCTGGGGCACTTCGTCAGGGCCGGCCTGGGGGACACTGGCTGCTCTGAGCCCTTCTTCACGCCCCCAGCTCTGAAGGGGGGCGACAGCTAACCTCTCTACAGCTGGCAGCTGGCCAAGCTCGTAACCACGCCCTCTGGCTCCAAGGCCATGACCTTTACAACCACTCTGGCCTGCAGCGGGCACACGCGAGGCCCAGCGGCAGACGGCACAGGCACGGCCACCCGCACGTGTCCAGCGCAGTCCTCGGACCAGGAGCCCGGCTGGCGGGAAGCAGAGGCACCGTGGCCACAGGCTTGGCCTCTGGCACAGAGCGGGGGCCTGCCGGCCGCTCCAGCGCTGGCATGCCGGGTCCACGGCCTGAGATGGAGGGCACGCCTGAGCCACCCCCAGGCCCCAGGGGGAACTGCGGAGGAAGCCGGCGGGGCCTCTCCAGGCAGGCGAGCTGCGGCGCAGAGGCCAGCAGGGCAGCCAGAGCAGCGGGGGAGGGTGCCGAGCACACGGGCGGGCCACGTGGACGTCCTCGACTGGGGTGTGGGGGCGGGGGCGGGGCCGCGCCGAGGCCCCACAGAGCAAGCACCACCCCCCACGCAGGGGCAGGAAGGGTCCCAGCCCAGCCCCACCTGCCGCCCTCCTGGGGTTCTGTCCTGAGGGCTCCCACCTCCAGGGGTGTCCCAGGTCCCTCGAGGGCTCAGGGTCTGCACCCTGGACACCTGCGGCCCTGTCCTCTGCTTGGGTGCCTGGCGTCTCCTCCGGCCGGTGGCCTCTCAGGGCCCCACACCCCACTCATCAGACTGAACGCCCCAGAACCCACTTCTCCACCTGTCCCCTGAAACCTGGGACAGGTGTCCCAAACTCCCTCCTCTCTCCCAACACGGCTCCTCTGAACCATCACCTGGAAGAAGGGTCCTCCATGCCACGGACCCTTGCCCACACCAGGATCCACCTGTCCACACCTCTCACCTGGACTCCCAACGCCAGGACTGGAGGGGACGAGCGATAAACTCTGCCAATCGGCCACTCCTGGCCCCCGGCCTCCTGACCAGCCCACACACCCCCTTCTCCTTGCCGAGCCCTGTGGCCCCAGGGACCTAACAGCAGACAGCACGGTCTGGGTGCCCAAGCGCCCCGGCACTCCAGGAAGCAGCTGCCAGGGAAGGGCAGGAGGGGCAGGAGGGCGGAGGGGCAGAGGTCAAACACCTCAAAAGCAACCTGGAGACTCCCTGGAGACGCCCATGGGACAGACAGAGCCCCCGACTCCCCCTGGGGCGATCCCTGCAGGCCAAGAGGGTGGACGGTGGAAGAGGCGGCCCAGGGACACGCCCACTCCCAGCGCCTTGGGGGCACAGGAGAGCATGCAGAGAGTGTGCACACCTGCACAGACAGGCTCCCAGGAGGGGAGGGGAGGGTGCCGAGCGCAGGGCGCAGACGCAGAGGGACTCGTCCGAGGTGCCGGCGCCCCAGAGGCGCGGCCATACCTTCAGCTTCTCGTACTTCCTGCAATAGACCTCCAGGGCCTCCCTGATGTCCTCGGGAACCTCCAGCTTCTCATCCTTGAAGGGCGGCCAGAACTCGCTGGAGAGGATGACGGCGTAGACCCCGAACGGCGGCTGCTCCTCTGCGGGCCGCTTCTCATCCTCCTCACGGATGTTGGCATTGATGCGGCGCGAGTCTGCCATGTCCTGTGGGGGAGACGGGGCCTCCTGAAGGTCCGGGACCGACAGGGGTAGGGGCCAGGCGGTGGCGGGGAGCCCCAGGCACCTACCTTGAGCATGACCTCGCAGAAATGCATTGGGGCCTCGCCAAAGCGCAGCTTCAGCAGCTCCACGTTGCGGATCTCCCTGGAAGGACGCAACTCTGAGGGCTGCGGTGTGCCCCCACCCCAACTGGCACCTACAGAGCGACACTGCCCCCCCATCCCCCCAGCCCAGGAGGAGAGGCGGGAGCCCTGTGCCCACTCCACCCCAGGAGGGCCGGAAGCCCTGGGACCTACCGCCCCAGGCTCCTTGGCTGCCCCCATGACCCCCCTCCCCCGGGGGGCAGAGGCCAAGCACAGGTCAGCCCCCGCCCAGCCTCGGGGACCCAGCGCATCCCCGATGCGCACCAGGGCTCACAGAGAGCAGCCACTGCGAGTGAAGGCCGCCCCTCCCTGGGGACCCGGAGTGGCACCTCACAGGCCTCACCGCTCGGGGCTGAAACTGAACTGGTGCAGCAGGCGGTCGGCCAGCAGCGAGCGGTACTCATTGATGAAGAGGTCCTTGCTGCCGTAGATGCTGACCAGCAGGCTGATGATGTCCGAGGAGCGCCGCTTAGAGCTGGACTTCCCTGCATGGCACGGGCACCACCGGCGCCTCTCAGACACGGAGGCGGCACAGATGGCGCCAGGCAGCTCGTGCCCGGCCAAGCCCATGAGGTGGGGATGCCGAAAACCCACTCCTTCTCCGGCTGAAGCGGCAGAAGCAGGTGAGGCAGGCAGGGCACCCCCCCACGGGTCTGGGCGGAGACACCACCCAAGCCAGGTGAAGAACCCTGGGGACCCAGGCGGGGTTACACTCTGACCATGGATCCCCTGGAGCTCCAGAGCCCACGTGGCAACACCTGGAGACCAGAGCGCCTGCCCGACTGGACCACCCCCCGAAATCCAGAGCCTGGCAGCAGGGCCGGCAGGCGCTGACCTGGATCCGCGTCCACAGGGTCGGGAACCCAGTCCTCTGGCTCGCCGGAGTCATCCTCGCTGTCCTGGCCGGTCTCCAGGCTGGCCGGGTCCGTCTTGGACAGCTCAACAGCCAAGTCCCCCGTCCCATCCGAGTCCCCGGTCAGCCCTGCCACGATCTGCCGCACCGTGTCCTCCCGCGTCCTGTCAGGCACGAGCCCCTCACCGCCTGTCCCACCTGAACACGGGACCCCGCCTGACCCCTGCAGCCAGGGCCGTCAGTCACGTGCTAAAGGTAAGCGCGTGAGACTCCCTCCCCCGCCCGCCACCCCTAACGCTAAATCAGTTTCTAGGAGAAGGAGCTGAGACGACAAGACAGACACAGGCCAGGCCGCGCCCGGCCAGGAGGCAGCAGGCCTGAGTCAGAGCAGCTCCAGACGCTGCCCGGCCCCATCCCCGAGACTCCACTGTGCGCTTAGGGGTTTCTGGGTGGCTGTGCGTGGCCCCTGCTCCAACACATCCCGCGGCAGACAGCCCGAGAGGCTCTGCTCCTCTTGGTAGAAGGCCAGCAACGCAAGGCCCCCCCTTCCCGTCAGCCCTGGGGCCAAGCTGGCGTGAGGCAAAGCAAGCAGGGCCACCTGTCTGTGCTGGTGTGGGCCCCGCGACCTGCACACGGGCCTGGTGACCCTGGGCCACAGGCGTGGGAACCAGCACTGGCAGGAGGAAGGAGCCCAGCCTGAGCTGCCCGGCCCAGGAGGGGACATGGAGCGTCCCTGGCTCCCCAAGGACCACACCCCTCTGGCTGCAGCAAGACCCACGGGGAGTGCAGCTGCACGAGTGGGGCCCTGGAGCTCACCTCAGGTAGCGGCGAATGGGCTCACAGGCCACCTCCAGGACAACCATGGAGGGATCCAGCACGCGCAGCGCCTTGATGGCGGAGATGTACAGGGTGATGATGTCACACGTATTCACGCCTGCGGCCGGGACGGGAGAGCTCCGTCACAGATGGGCCCAGGCAACACAGGGACACAGAGGCAGCCACCCTGGCCAGGTGACCTGCAAGTCCCACCTCACCCCCAGGAGACCCGCGTGACCTGCAGGGAGCTGTCCCCGCCGCTCCCCCTGCACTCACTTGCTTTCTCCCCTTACAAAGTGGGGTCTGTTCTGAAGGGACCGGGCACTGCCCCTGCCCCCAAAGGACCACACAAAACTGCCTCTAAACCCACTCCCTCCACAGGCCCCAGGCCTGGGCTTCCAGATCCGGGCCCTGAGGGTGAATGGCGGGTGGGCCTCGCCCGGGCGGCACCTGGGTGGAGGAGTCGCGTCTCCAGGGCAGCCTTGAGGGACACAAGAAGCTGCGGCCTCTGGTCGGTCCTCTCCAGGCAGTACTTGAGGTCTTCCACGGCCGGCCGGGAGTCCGGGAAGTCTGCGGGGAGAGGCTGGTCCTGGCACGTGCACATGTGGCGAGCACGCACTGCGCGCGAAGGGCCCAGATGTGCCCGCCGCCCCACCCTCAACGAGCTGAAGGGCAGAGGCACGGGAAGGCGGCTCCCTGGCAGGCGGGGCCGACCTCGGATGATGCTGAAGAGCTCCTCGATGCGCAGGCTGGCGTAGATGCGATAGAAGAACCTCTGCACGTGGCAGCGCCAGCGGCGCAGGGAGCTCCCAGCCTCCGGGGACGCAGGCCTGCTGGGGCCGTCCTGCAGGAACACCTTGCCCAGCCAGCCGACCACCCTCTCAATCCACTGTCGGGAGAACACAAGTGTGGGACTCTGGGGGCCAAGCCCAGAACAGAGACGAGGAGAAGCCACACAGGTACCCGCGCCTCTGGCTGGGCCCTGGGAGCCCCCAAGGCCACCTCCTCTGAAGACCAGGAGCACGTTAAAATCAGCAGGACAAGGGGCCCAAAGGAGGCCTCCGAGGGCCTCCACCAACACACACCCAGGCCCCTTCCACACACACCAGCACCCGTGCTCATCCCCAGCAACAGCGGCTCTGACACAGGGCGCTACATCTGAGCGGACGGGCACACCCTGGGGGTCCCATGCACAACGAGACCCCCCCACGCACAACCCACAGCACCTAGCGGGAACGCTTCTGAGCCCGTGCACGTGAAATCGACAGGACACCCTACCACACGGACCCGAGCGTGTCCATGTCTTCCCACGGCCACCCAGCCACCGGAAAGAGCACCCGGACGATGCGCCGCCTCGGGACGGCACAGCTACCCGCCAGACCTCCAGCTTCACACACCGCCCCCCACCCCGTGGCAGGGACACTTGCTTCGAACACCACCCCGCATCCCCTCAGCTCACCTGCATCCTCAGGAAACAGATCCAAGAGCAGGGGAGGGGAGCAGCTGGGAAGTGGGAGCGGACTGAGCCCCCCCCGCCGTGGTTGGGTGCAGCTCTTCCTCAACTCTGTGCAGCCCAGAGCAGATCCCAGACCACGTCCCAACAGCGTGGATGCCCCCGAGGCCCCCCACTGGGATACCCCAGACCTTGGCACGGCCTCCAGCCACGTGGCCCCGCGAAGACCTCACTAAGTACATCACAGGCTCTTCCTTCCACCAGGACGGGCCCAGAATGACTGGCCTCCAGCCAGCACCAAGACGACTTCCAGCACCAGCAACGTCCTGACGCACCCGGCTCTCCACGCTCTGGCCGTTTCTAAAACTGAGGTGTCAGTTTTGCCAGAAACCTCTAATCCACAAGGACACAGCCCGTGGGGGTCCTCACCTTGTGGAACTCACGCAGGAAGGAGCGCTCATACTCGCCCCGGCAGCGGTCCTCCATCCTCTCTCGGGTCACTTGGTGCAGGGTGGTAGTCACGGCCTCGGCACTGACCCGCTCCAGCAGACTAAGCCTGTGTCTGGAGAAGAGCCCTGCCCATGAAGAACGCAGAGCACACGCACACGCGCCCAACCCCACCCCAGCACGTACCGCCCACAGCTCTCCCGTCGGGGGCACAGCTGCACCAGAGGCTTCGAGGAAAAGCTGCTGTGAAGACAAGCACTGGCAGCGACCGCCCGCCCCCCCCAAGCCGGCCTCCCTGCTCAGGCCGGGACACTAGCCTTCCCCACGTGGTCAGCACGTCTGGCTACTGGGGCCAAGGCTCACCTCCCAGAAACAGCCCTGAGACAACAGCTAAATACGTCACTACCCTAGCCCCACAGACACAGATGCAGCTGTCTGTGCCCTCTGGTGCAGATGCCGATCTGTGAGGACAAAGGCTCCTGAGAGAACAAAGCTTCTGTGGATCCGATCACACCCTCGGTCCAGCCAAGAGACTCTCTAACAGCTGCACTGCTGCCACTTCACTCAAAGTGACAAAATCATCATAAGTGACCACAGAGAGTGGAAGAACCACATGACAGGACCTGGCTCTGACAACAAAATCTTTCCCTCTTCCAGAGGCCAGAAGAGCAATCAGTTTGCCCAGTACATTGGTTTAATCTCTGACTTGTTCTAGAGAGAAAAAACAACAGTCACACCTTTTGCAACCATAGGATAAACATCATTCCTCCTCTGAGAGGCTACAAACAGCACAACAAAACTCTGCACAGCCCAGGAAATTCGGAATCACGTGGAATCTTAGCATAAGCAAAGTGTGAAACCCTGAGCTAGGGCGAGTGACAGGTGCACCTGTGTCCAGGGTGAAAGGTAAAAACTCACAACACACGGATCCTGGGGACCCTCTCTTTGGCTACCAGGACAGGTGGCAGAGACCTCTGCCAGCAGCTCTCTGCAGGGGCCAGCTGGACCCAGAGGGGCAAGCAGGAGCCAGGAGGAACGGGGCACGGCCACGCAGGCACAAGTACTCACAGGACTTGGCTGAGCTGGTGGAACTGCTCCAGCGCCTGGCGGCACCAGCACTGCTGCTTGTCACTGCCACATCCGGCACAGAGTGGGCTCTGCAGAAGGCGGTAGTACCGGCGGCGGGCGTATCTGCTGTCCAATTCCCCCTCCAGTTCGGGGTCGGTTCCTCCTTCTCCTCTTCTCTTACTCTGCATGTAAACTCTCAAGAAGCGCCCATAGAGGCGCTGGATCATCTCCTGAAAAGTTCTGGGAGTGGAAAAGAACAAGACGCCCCGCAACGTGGTATGAACTTTTTCCCGAAGCCCCTGAGCACCGGTGCCCATAAGCAAGCCCAGGCGAGTCCATTTCTCCAGGAGCTCTAGACTACGCAGGTAGGGATCCAAGCGGCTCTCCAGGAGCCCAAAAGCATCGAGGAGCAGCAGAAGACACTGGGGCTCGTCTGCACAGTTCTCACGTTGGGAGATGGCATTCCAGAACTCGAGAGATATGTTAGCCTGCAGGTCGTTCTGCAGCACCTCTGCGAACCACTCCTCCAGGACCGAGTGCAGACCGTGGCCCCTGAGAACCTCCACCGCCGCCCGGAGCTCCTCCTCCTTTGGAGGGACCGCACCGCTGGTCCGGGAGGACGCCTGGAGTACAGAAAACTGTAAGAAGAGAACACAGCGCAGAGCTGGAGAAAGCAGTGACAGATAAAGATAGATAGGAAAGGGACAAAGCACAGGGGAGTCTACGGAAACCCCGCTGCCCTTCGTCGCACGGATGCAGGGCCCACGCTTAGGGACAGGCTGTGGAACAATAAAGGACTCTGGGGGAAACAAGCTGGGCAGAAGCGGGCGGAGGGATCCGAATGAACCCGAGAGTGGACGCACAGGGTCCCGGGAACCCCGCACGGGCCCGCCGCCCTCTTCTCGGGCCTCACCAGTCCCAGAGCGGCCGGCGGCACCAGTCCGGTGCTCACGGTATTCCAGGCCACCAGCAGCTCTTGGGCAGGTCCGGGGTCATTGTGCGCCGCCGCTTCCGCCGCCGCCATCTGCTCCCACCAGCTCCTAGAGCCGCCGGCGCGGCGCGCGGCGATGACGCAAACGAGAGGCGCGCGGCAGTGACGTGTACCGTGGACTCGCCGTCTGTAGGCAGTGCGCAGGCGCGGACCCGGATGCGGTAACGGCGGTTGGAGCGGCCGGGACCCCGGGTGGCGACCATGACCCAGCAGGGCGCGGCGCTGCAGAACTACAACAACGAGCTGGTCAAGTGTGAGCGGCCGAGCGGTGGGGCCCGCCGGGCAGGCTGGGAGGGCGTGGGGCTCGCCGGCCTGCGGTCCCGGGCAGTAGCTGGCCCGCAGCGCGCGGCCGAGCGTGTTGTACGGTCCGTGCGCGGCTTTGCGGGCCGGGGCGGCGCGGACGCCGTGCGGACCTGCCCAGCGCACAGCCGCGTTGTGGCCCGCCCCGAGGGTTAGGTATCTGTGGAGTGAGCAGAGGACGATGGGCTTGAGTACGCACGGCCTCCCGGCCTCGCGCCTCTAGCCTCGCGCGGTGCTTTCCTTAACTCTGAGACTCCTCGGACGCAGGACATTGGCCTGGCTCGGGCGAAAGGTGGCCCATCCGGCACCCGGGTCCTCCACTATCCACTAGCCTTCTCTTCTCCAGAGCAGGGGGCTCCAGAGCTGGAGGGGCGGTGCTCTCCATTCTGCTCTGGGCCCACCGCGCTTGTCTCTCTCGGCCCACCCTAGGCATCGAAGAGCTGTGTCAGAAGCGGGAGGAGTTGTGCCGGCAGATCCAGCAGGAAGAGGAGGAGAAGCAGCGGCTGCAGAATGAGGTGAGGCAGCTGACAGAGAAGCTGGCCCGAGTCAACGAGAACCTGGCTCGCAAGATAGCCTCTCGGAATGAGTTCGATCGGACCATCGCGGAGACGGAGGCTGCCTACCTCAAGGTGGGGCTCGGGGGCCCGAGTGCTGGACCGAGCCCGTCAAGGGTTTCTGGCCCAGGGGTGCCTAGACAGGCTGTAGGCCCCCCGTGGTGACAATACCGCGCTCAGAGTGACCTGGGTCTTGTTGTCGGCACCATACTCATCACCGCGTAGCGGGTTCCGGACTGTGAGCCGCAGAGCAGCAGCAGGAGCCATGACCTCAGCCTGGCTTCCCAGGGTGTGAGGAAGGGGCTTTGGGCCAGACTCAGAGGGGAGACAGGCCCTGGCCCGGGAGGGGGGCCGGGCCACGGGAGCTTTCCAACAGGAGGAGCAGTGCTAACCGGCTGGTGTCTCTGTTCGCAGATCCTGGAGAGCTCGCAGACTCTGCTTAGTGTCCTGAAGAGGGAAGCGGGGAACCTGACCAAGGCCGCAGCCCCCGAGCAGAGGAGCAGCGGAGGCAAGGACAGCTGATGAGGCCAGAGGCGGAGGGCCTGCCTCCACTGCGCCCCCTCTACGGCTCAGCCCCCGGCAAGTCTGTCTTCAAAGCATCTTTGTCCTTCACGGCAGCAGCGTCTTCCTCTTGGTGTCTGGGGTGCCAAGAGGCAACTGCCAACCTTCACCAGCTCTGGGTGACAGGAAAGACCTGAGCACAGCCCACCAGGTGGGGATCCTGGCTCTGAGCTCACACAGGCGCTGGAGAGGGCAGCTCTACTCAGGGTCCCACTGAGGCCTCCACACCAGCCTGGGGCCGCGGGGAAGGCCCGGTTCTGGTCTCAGCACCTTGGGAGTCCTGTCACCCCTCCCTCGGCCCGCAGGTGCCCAGGCAAGTGTGGGAGGGGCTGGGGCCCTCCTTCACCTCAGAGCTTGCCTGGGGCCTGTGACTGTCAGTAAAGATTGTCTTTGTAGAGATCCACGTCAGCCTGCTGCCTGTGTCAGGAGTGTGGGGCTGCCGGGCCCCCCTAGAGCCAAAATACGAATCCTTGTCCAGTTGTAATACGGCTCCTCCGTGAAGGGATGGCTTTCTCTGTGACCGGCCTTGCGTTCAGAGCTAAGGGTGCCCCTAAGCGTTTCATGTGACCCCCGTCACCCACCTCTCCCATCAGGGCCACTGGTCCTGGTTTCTAGCATAAGGCCTGGCCCAAGGAGACGCTCTTCCTGCGCTCAGGTCCCCTGGGAGTGGCTGCACCCCAGCTCAGTAATTCCAGATTCTGCCGGACAGCAGCACCCCTGCTCCCACTCTCTGGTCACAGGCCAGTCTCCCATGCAGCCCAGGGCCCTGCCTTCCATCCCGAGTCCTCCATGGGTCCACCTGCCTTGGCCTGTCAGCCCCCATGGGGTCCCTGCAGTTGCTGTCCGTGGGGGATCGGGGGGTTGGGAAGCATGTGTTGGTTGAGAAGGTCTGCAGAAACTTGGGCCCACCATTCCCAAGAAAACGCCTTCCTCCTCCCAAGCCTGGCCAGGTGGCATTTCCCGTGGGCTTGACGCTCCAAGAGGAAAAGACTTGCGTCTGACGCCAGGACTGTGAACGGCCGGTCTCGGCACAGCCACAGCCCAGCCGGGAGCCGCTCCCTAGTGGGCAGCTGTCTTCTGTCACTTTTCCAGATCTATCAGACCTCCCTGCTGACGTTACCCCAGGGGAGTGGTCTGCCTGCCGCAGCATTCCTGCAGGCCCTTGTGGGTCAGGGAACCTTCCAATCCAAACAGGAGGCAAGATCCCTGAGGCTCTGCCCACCACCTGCCCTGCACTTCGTCCACCCCCAGGCTCTGGCCCTTCAGGGAAACCACTTCGGACCCGACAGCTGCAGCAACCACCCGGGCCCACAGAGAGTTCCAGACCCCAGAGAGCTTACCTGGCGTCCCACCTCCCACCATAGCTCCCACTGAGCCGCTTCTGGGAGGCAAGGGGAGCCCCAGAGACTGGGGGTGCTCACAGGGTAGGCACAGGGAAGTCCCTCTCCCAGCCAAGGGGATGGCTGGGAGGAGAAGCAGGGCAACTAGGGCCACAGGGGTGGGGAAAGAGCCTGGGGCACCAGGGCTGTGCAGTGTGGGGTGTCACCCGGGACTGCCTCCCCCGGGCACAGAAACCCAAGCTGGGCCTGCATCACACCCTGCGTGGGTGGCTGCCTCCCAGCTGCCAGTGCCTCAGCATAGCCCTGCAGACCTGAGCCCCGCTCCCCCTTTTTCCAGCCGAGGACCACGCAAGGAAGGTAGAGGCGGCCTCATCCAGGGCTGTTTATTGGGTCATCAGAGGCGGGAAAAGACTTGCCGTTCATCAGAAACGGAGTGGCTGACATGGGGTGTGGGCTGGGGGTGGTGTCAGGGTCCCGTCAGCCCCCACCCCAGACGCACCCGACAGCCGCTGGGCATGGCGTACAGCAGGACACCATCCCTCCCCCACAGGCAGTGCCCCCGAGCCGGGGTCGAGTGAGTCCCAGGTGCCCCAGGCTCAGGCCTCGAGTACCGGCCTACTTGGGAGGCCCCGGGGAGGGAGAGCGGGATGTAGGAGGGCAGGCCTGGTGGGGCAGAAGGGGTGCAGCTCCCGGGCACCTGGGGCTCAGCCTTCGTCATCCTGGTAGGGCGGGGCTCAGAAGTAGAGGGCTGGCTCGCTTCGGAAGTCCGCGAGGTCATTCTGACCGGCAGGGGTGAGCTGAGAGAGGGACACAGAGGCGGTCGATGGGGCTTGTCCAGGCGTTGGAGCACCACGCCCACACCCCCCGCCACGCCCCGCTTCCCTGGGCGTCCGCCCTCCTGCCCCACCCTGCTCACCATGACCTCCTTGGACGGGGGCTCCTCCGTGCTCGGCACACGCTCCAGCGCCCGCTCCTGCCACTTGCTGAAGGCCACGGAGTGCTTCGGAGTGTAGCTGGACAGGCCTGCGGGCCGACAGGCACACCGGTGGATGTGCGGCTGCATGATCGTGTGGCCCGGGCCACCCCCTGGGCTGCCCATCCCCACAGGCAGGCACTCACCGGAGCTGCCGTCCGGCAGCCTGTCCGGCAGCCGAGGGCTCTCGGGGCCCACGCTGTTCACGAACGTGGCTCGGGGCAGGAAGAGCGCGAAGGGCTTCTCCGCCGCAGCCGCTGCCGGGTCTGAGCCGGACGGCTCCCCCTCCCCCTCCCCCTCCTCGCTCTCCTCCTCTTCGTCTCTCCCCTTCTCAGCCTCTGCCTCTTCCTCCTGCAGGGAGCTCTCGGGGGGGTACTCAAACGTAGTCTGCAGACTCTTGTCGTTGAAGGAGATCTTCATCTAGGGCAGGAGGCACGCCAGTGAAAGTGCTGTGCCCAGCCACAGGGCTCCTCCAGCGGGACCGAGCGGGTACAGCGCGGGTGTCAGACCAGCGCAAGAGCCGAACACTCCGTTGGCCCTTCAAAGGTTCTGAGAAGTGGGGGGCTGCCCCTCATCAGAGAAGTCCCCTCCACCTGGACGCTGCAGGCTCAGGATGTCCAAACACCTGCAGCCCAGGCCTCACCCATCCCCTCCCCACCCCAGGATCACCGCATCCCAAGTGACCCACCCCTCCCAAGGGCCAGACCCCAGCCAGCCCCAGGAGCCCAAAGCCTCAGGGTCTCCAGAAGCCTCTAAGGCGTTCCCAGGGTTGCAGGTCTGCCTTCTCAGGGGGGCAGGGCACCACCAGCCACATCTCCCAGCCAGAGGCTCCCTGGCAGGAGCAAGGTCCAGGTGAGGCTGCACTTGGGGAGCTCACATCTACACCTCCAGCAGCCCCTCCTGTTGGCCGGTGCCTCTCTCCAGGGCTGAGTTCACGTCCCAGCTTGCCAGGCACCCGGATGCTCCTGCCCACCCAGCTCGGCACGGACCACCACTGTTGGGCAAGGGCCCGGCACACCCAAAGCCAGGCCCCCAAGGTCCCGCATGGAAGCCGGGCGGCTGCCACGTGCCAGCCCCAGGAAAGTGGCCCCAAGTGCTATCACCCACTTTGCAGACTGAGTCAGAGGTAGGTAGCCCGAGGCTGCACCGCGTGGGGGTCAGCGACTGCCCACATGGCCCACGTCCACCCTGCCCCCTCTGCAGGCTCCAGAATTCCATGCGCGGCAAATCTTTCCCAAAGGCCTCAGAGGCCAGACTAGGCTGCCGGTTCTGAGGGGCTATGGGGACAGGCACTGGTAGAAGGACTTGGGCACTGGGGGTCAGGATCCTCACCCTCCGAGACCCGGGACTAGGCTCCCCACAAGAGTCGCACGTCCCCCAAGGCCTGCTCG